TTGGTTTCATTCAATTTTGTTTTTCATCTACTAACGACACATTTAAATATTTGCAACTGCTCTACTTTAAAATAGTTTTAATTTTATCATATCATATGCCATTCTGTTACATTCCTCTTCACTTACGCATTCGTACACTGAGCCAAAAGGCTGTCCCACCCAAAAAAGTATGCTACACTTTTCACTCGATCGCAAAACTATTTGCTATAGTAGTACTATTTTTTTCATCATGTTTCATTAACCTAACTGCTTCATTTAATGTTGCCTTCCATTGTTTTTTGTTTGTTTTGTTTAATTTTGATAGCTATGCGTTTGCTTTTTATTGCTTTTACTTTTACGTTTAAGATTACGTGTACGTTTCATTTCATATATGTATGTATGTATTTATGTATATTTATGTTTAGTTCTCTATAGGCTTTTATTTTATTTTGTTTTACTTTTTATGGGGATTTTTTTTTGCGCTTTTCTCAGGGATTTGTTACGTTTTTTTCTTTCTTTTTTTTTTTGAAAAAATTAAGGTACACATTAAAAATAGTTAGGTTTTTGTTTTGTCGCTTTAGGTAGGTTGTGTTTTTTGCGTTTCTTTTTTGTTGTTGTTATATTTTGTAAGGTTATTCATCTATGCATTTTCAAAAATAAAAACTTTCAATAAGGGGCCTTAATGGCATAGCACATAGTACACAACTAACATGCTACGATGACTCTGTTTTTTCTTTTTCTTCATTTTTTCTTGTGTTTAATGTGCTTGTGTGTTTTTGTCTTTGTGCTACTTTTGCTGCTGGCTGCTACCTGACAGCGGGTACTTGGTACAAGGAGTAGTTTGAACAGTAGCTTTGAGTTGCAGACAAAGGATTTGTTGGCATTGCGGCAACAAGGAAATTAAGAAGCTAAGGTTGCAATAAACGGGCAGCTAATTGGGTGAGTTTTAAAAAACTTATTAACTTCCCTGAATAGGGGCGAACGGACAAAGCGAAATTCTGTTCATTCACATTGAGGAACAGTCGCGGAAAGAAATGGAAAACTAAATGGAAGCAGCAAGGAGAGAGTCAGAGAGAGAGAGAGAAAGAGTAATATAAAAGGCATCATTAAGATACTAAGCTGGCACAATTGCTATGTAAAACAGTAAGAAATAATTGAAAAGAATTAAGACTTCTTTTTGCAGGCCAAAGGCAATGATAAATAAGACAACTAGCTCAAAATGATAAATAAAAATAAGTATTTGTATCGCTCAGAATCGCTAGGAAACCAGCTGAAAATTGGTTTAAATCTATGACTGAATTTATATGCATGTAATTCCCATGATCTCCATTTTATACATACATACAACAATGTCAAGCCTAGCATTTTTTACACCTTTGCCAAAAGTTTAACTTGAGTTGCCACTTTGGCTTCCGCATCACTTTCTGAAAGGCTTCGGAAAGCTGCTCGCGTAGCATATTTTCCTAAATAAAAAAAACACTTGCACAAATCCGTCTCAAATCTTCTTTTCCACTCCCATAGCACAAGCGCTAAAATGTTCGCTAAATGTTTATGTGTGTGCGTGTGTGTGTGTGTGTGTGTGTGTGTGTAAGTTTGTTGCATTTAAAATATATGTAGTTTCCGTTTACTTTTTGTTTAGCTTGAGTTTTATACGTTTTTTTTTTTATGTTAGTTTCGCTTGTTTTGGTTTTTTTATTATATATTTTTCAGTGTTTATGTAGTTTTTAAAACTATTTTCTGACTTTTTTGTCGTAACTATCGCAAGTACATTTTCCAAAACCGTTTTTGTTTGCATTTAATTAAATTATATGATTACTTTTGCCTCTTTGTTAGTGTTGTTGTCTAGTGTAGTGTAGATGTTGTTAGTTATTTTTTGGTTGTTGTTGTGGATTTTGTTGCTCATTCGAGAACCAAAACAAGTATTCAATTGGAAATGCCTTTATCCTCTTGAGCATTTGAAAAGTTGCCGCTTTAGCTCAAAAGCGACTTTAATTAATTGCCAGCCAGATTTTTTTTCTTTTATTTTAGTCTGAAGTTTAATTAAAATGCCAGACAAACTGGTACAAAGAGAGCAAGGCTGCTATAGCAAAGGAAAAAATAAAGAGTATAGCCCAAAACTATGAATACCTTGTTTGTTGCTTTATTGTAGCTTCTTGGGTTTTTTCCCTAATTAGACACACTCATTGTTGTCCTCATTGGCGTTCTTTTACTGGGTCAAAGCTTTGTGGGTATTCATTTAAAAGTACATGGATGGCGACTAAAAGAGGTATTTGGGATGTGGCACAAAGTGCCTTACTCGACACCCATTAGAAAGTTGCTCGTCAAGTGGCCTAAATGCACAAAAAAGCAAAAAAAAAAAGCAAAAACCTCAAACACGCTGCCCCATATATAACGGCCACGCCCTTGGCGCAGTCCTCGAGCCCTGCACAACAAACTTTACTTTTTTTTTTGTATTTTTAATTTCTAACAGGGCTAAATTTTTTTTTTTTTTTTATTTTGTGGATGTTTTGTATCTATGTATGTGTTTGTGGGTGTGGAGTGTTCGCTGTGGGTCTACGTTTGCGCAAATAGTTTTTAATTTGTGGCAAACTTTCCAACAGTTTGCGCAACATTTTCTTTACACGTTTTGTTAAATATGTTCGTTTTTTGATTGTTTCAACTTTGCTTTTGCCAACTTCTCACTAATCCATAGTTAATGTCAGTTAATAGCAGTTATCCTAAAAATATATACTATATATGATTTGTATATATATATATATACTTTATACTTTACTTATTTAGCAATCGCTCATTTTACTTATGCTTGCCGTTTTGGTATAAAAATTGTATCTTTAGTTTAGGTTTTTTTTTTAAATTATTTTATTTTTTTCATTTAATCGCTTTATGATTTGCTTTATTTATTTTCATTTTCATTTTCAGTTTTAGTTTTAGTTATAGTATTAATATTTTTGTTTGCCATTGTATAAAATACTCACATTCACATTTACAACTACGAACCACGTAACTACTTATAGATGTATTGTATTGTATATATAGACTTTATAGTAATAGTTATGTATGTGTATGTATATGTATATATAAATGTATTTATGTACGCATGTATATCGTAATCGTATTTATGTATGTATTTATGCACGCATGTATATGGTATATTTTCACTACTTCCGAGCAGAACTTGACGTCCCTTAACTCATATCTAACTCATCGTGTACGCTGGCTAGAAGTCATATATATATATATATATATATATATATATATATATATATATAGTGGTAATCTCTATATACCTATAACTATGCCCAATCCAAATACCTAATCACACACCCTGTATAATGCTTAGCTCCTCTCAATTGCGAAATATATCCGACCAAAAACCGAGTTTTTTGCCTACAATTACGCATCAATTGCCTTATTGAGTATAAAGTATTTACAACTTAAACTTAGCATACAATTAGTTACAGCTAAGAGAGAGATAGATCGATAGAGGGAGAGAGAGACAGAGAGAGTGAGTGTGTGTGTTTTTAATTAGTTGAACGATATACATATAAAAATGAGAGGGGAAAGGCAACACTTTGAGTGTAGAGCATTATTATTTGAGTTGAGTATAAATAGTAACTGAATACAACTTAGTAGTAATACACATAAATTATATGCAGTTAAAGCGAGTACTTTTTTTAGAGCTATAAATCAACAAAAATATACAGTAAGAACTAGGTCTAGGCAAACTGCGATAATATAGGATGTTAATCAATGAAAATCAAATACATTTAGTTATAAGTTAGTACAAATTCATTGCCAATATCGATAGCAGGATCAATAAATACAAATTTCGTAGTTGCCCATTTCTAGTATAGTTCTAAAATAAACTTAAGTATAAGTAGTTAAATACGAAATTCTTGAAATGATGGCCTAGACAGAGCCAAAGTATTTTTTTTTTTTATCTGTTTTCCTACCACACTTTCCTCAACTATGTTAACTGAATGAAAAATTATTGATAATTCAAACATCTTTATCATCATCACACGCGATACAGAGTTTTTTTGTTGTTTTTTTTTTTTGTTTAATGTTTTTCATCTTTAGTCTTTAACGCCATTTCTCAATAAGACAAAGTAAAGTCGTAAGTCTTTCCAAACACCAACTAAATAAATGTGTTACTTAGTTCTTTGTTTGCTCTTTTGTTATATATGGACGAATAATTTTATATGTGTCTGTGTATGTAGTTTTCCATTTTTTTTTTTCTCTCGTATTCGAACTTAGTTCCTTAGTTTGCGCGCACTACAAGTGACTAAACTTAACTGGGTTGTAAGTATTATTCATAATTTCTTGTGTGTTTTATGTGTTTCATGTGTTTCATGTGTTATGAGCTATGTACGTTTATATGTATGTTTATGGTTTAGTTTAGTTCCCTATATCTATGCCATCATCTAACTCTTTGCTTTTGCTCGAGTGGTTTACTGAATTTCTTCATTTACGATTGTGTCTTGCAATGCCCAACAAAAATCATCAGACGCTCAAGCTTTACATGCATAAGTCAGACCCTATATAATAAAACTATTATGTAGAAGGAATGACTGCACTAGTGTTTAGTTATATACGTACTCGTATTTCTCTATATATTTATGTATGTATATATATTCTCATTTTTTATATTTTGTTTTTCTTTTTTGTATATCATATAACGACAACAACAACTAATTATTGCTTTTCGGTTTTAAAATGCGGTACGCGATTATTTTTTATTTTTTTTCTGTTTGTTTTTTGTTTCTTCTTTTTTTTTTGTTGTAATTTTTCATTTTGCTTAAGTTACCTTAGAGAAAAACTCATTAATAATTTACTAAATGTTAGAACAAAAATAACAAAAAACTTAAGGGACATGGCATAAATAAACAGGGAGAAACAGCAGGAGAGGGTTTCATTTGTATGGGGGTAGAGCTTATTATGAATAATTAATAGTACTGCAATTTTTTTTTATCATTTTTTTCTCCGTATTTTAGTTATTTTTGTTTTTTTTTTTTGTGGTGTTTTCTTGTGTGTTGCTTCTTGTTGTTGTCTGTACTTGTGTTGTGGTAGGATTAAGAGCTGTCATTTATAGTTAAAGAGTTGTAGTTGCCTTCTTTTCTTGTTTTTTTGTTTTGTTTTGTTTTTGTTTTTGTTTTTGCTTTAAGTATTTATATAGTGTAGTTAGACGGTGGTGCCTGTGATGCTGCTGCTGCTGCTGCTTCGCTCTGCTGTGCCATTGGATGCGACTATTGCTGCTCCTGCTTCTGCCCCTGCTCACGTCCTGAGCAGCAGAACCAGCCACCAGGATGAGGCGCCCAGCCACAACCACAGCAGACAGCTGCTCAGCTGGCCACAATTGGTCCTGGTGGCAACGCTCAATGCACCCCCATGTCCATCAGTCGCCGAACTGCGACTGCTGCGCGCCGCTCCCTCGATGATGTTGTTGTTGTCCAGTTCATGGAGCACCGGCAACTCACTGAGATCCGATGCCGGCGAGGTGCGCTCCGTGATGGGCGCAAAGAGTCGTTTGGGCTTGCAGCGCTTGTGCTTCTTATAGGTTTTGGTCACATTTATACTGTAGCCCTCGAGGAACTCGGAGCCCTGTAAAAGGAAATGGATAAACATTAGCGCTTGCCTTAGGTCTGCATTCAATAAATTACAGCATTAATTAAATTTTTTGCAGGACACTCCCTACAACTACTACTATAAAGGAGGCCAGGATGCGACACAGAGAGAGACAGATAGACAGAAAAAGAAGCGTAGGAAATTAAGAAAATCTTGTTTATGTGAGTAGAAAACTGAAGTCTCTTTTCTTCATAATAGCTCTGCAACTTTGTGTTCTACTATAAAAATATTTGAGTTTATCTCTTATTTAAAAAGTACCTATTATTATTATACATATTTTGCATTAATTACGTAAAATGAACCAATAAAAATATACCTACATTTGCAAAGAAAATATTGTAGAATGAGTACTTAGTTCCTTCCTAGAACAAGTTGAAAAAATAACCATTTATATCAAACAATCTAAATATTCCCTAAGCTGCCTAAAAAGTTAAAGATTCAAATGAGCATATATATGTATATATATATATGTCGTATATTATTATATGAAACCATATCGCTTAGGTTTCGCCTCTTTCAAATTATTATTGTACATTTGCATTTACATGGGAATATACGAATTTCAAATGAAATTATGCTGCTGATATAGACATTTGACTACACCAGACGATTGCCATGATTAAACATACTTTATGCCTTCGCGTCTAGGATCTACCCTCGAGGGCGCAAATCCACAGCAACACCTACACACACACACACACACAACAGCAACAACAAATTCCAAGCACAATAAGAATACAATGAAGCCATCAGATTTGTCGTTTTCCACTCTTCACCAGCTCCAGCTCGAGCGGCAAAATTTTGCCTTTTAATTACGCTGCATAAATTTGTGTTTATAAATAGGCAATGGCAATGGCAATGGTCTCTGCTCCGAGCAGGACTGGTCCCTCCATTCCCCGCCACTTCACTCCTCGCCGGACCACACCCACACCGTTGGTTGTGAACCACCTCGGCTCGTTTTGTGCTGTGTGGTTCGAGGCTTTGGATTCAATTCTGGATTTTGGTGCGGGTTCGCCATCTTTCCGGGCTGTGGTCAAATATTTTATGGCAGCCAAAAAATCTAAATCTACTGAATGTCTGCATTTTGCTATAAAGGGGGGGCGTGGCACAACGCTGTGGGCGTGAGAGACTTCATAACGAGTGTTTACTAATAATATTATGCAAATCGAGCGACGGGCTCAACGTTGAAATCAAGAGCTGGCGGTTCGTTTGTTTGCTGTGGCTGTTGATGTTGTTGCTGTTAATGTTGCTGTGATGTTGTTGCTGCTGTTGTTGTTGCTGTTGAATTTTTCAAAAGGCATTTTGTGAATCGTTTTACGCTGCCTACCCACACCCAAATCTCCCACCTCCACACAATCATAAAAAAAAAAAAAAACGAAAATACTTGACAGACATTTGCAGGTGTGTTTGGACAGTTTATATTTTGTGGGTATGCGTACGGCTGGGTGTATATATATATATATATATGTGTATGTGTGTGTGTGTGTACATATTTTATAGGTGTTTTGGGGTTGAGAATTGCCTTCTTGTTGTTATTGTTGCCACTGACAGCGACAGGCATTGTAATTGAAAAGGAATGTACGGTTATGCTTACGGGGGCAACAAATTTATAAAATGTGCATAAATTTAAAAGCCTTAATTGCTCTGCTGGGCTGTGACTGTGGCTGTGACTGTGACTGTGATTTAAGCTACCTATATGTGTACATATCTACATATATCCAATAGATTCCTTTCGGATTTTGACATGCTAATTAGCTTTTGGGGGCGTCGCTGAGCGTTGGGCGCTGGTCATTTGAAATCTCCCTCTGGAATTTGCAAAGTATGCTACAACTTTTTATTTATGCTAATTAATGTTGCCAGTCAATGGAGAAAGTGTTTGGTTTTTAGCAGGTGTAACTTTGAAGTGGGTTCCGAGCTGCATGTGTTCAAGTGTGTGTGTGAGAGTGTGTAATCCCTTTCGGTTCAAATTGGATTTAATCGAGATCCTAATAAAGCCCAAAGTGTTTTAGTAGGCTTCAACAATAATCTACAGTCAAATCGAAGGATTAGTTAGGACTTTCCAGTGTGGTACGAATATAAATATTTCATAGAGGAATTTTGCTTAAAATTGAACTGAAAATTAAAGTGAAAAATGTTGTTTAGCTGCCAGAAGAGACATAAATAACAAATTATACAACTCTGCTCGCACTAACTGACCAGTTTTGAAGCCATTTTCGAAATCTACATGAAAGAAAGCTTAAAGTTTCCATAAGAAAAACTAAATGAATTGGTTACGTTTGGCCATTTATTTTAAATTATAAAATAAATTGAATTTGGCTTTTTTTTCTGACTTTCTGGTTATTCTCGACTCTGTAAGTAGGCCTTCCAGCCCATCGACTCTTGAAAGCGTCTATTTAAAACTAATCTGTGATTTCTTTGGCTACTCTTCAGCGATTTCTTTTTTTCTTTTTGGCTTTTTTGCTACTCTCTGTTTTGTTTATATATATATATATATATATATATATATATATATATATATATTTTTTTTTTTTTGTCCTGTTAAGGTGCCTTGTATATTTTTACGGTACATTGAGCGCCATTTACCTTTCAATCTGGCAGCTGGTTCATGAGCATGTTTGCTCATCATTTGCCTGGGCTAAAACTATTTTGTCGGTTGGGTTGAATCAAGTTTTTTGAGCTTTATTTTATGCACACACTCTCGGCTCACTGCTAATTTGGACGCTGCGAGGGCTTATAAATTCAATGGGCATGTCACTGAAGCAAGCGGATGCCTCGAGGCAGCCTCAATGAATTATTGCCTTTGCCGATGAAGGAGGCAAGAAAAAATTAAAGTGGGCGCCAGCGGTGAGGGCTGAGCGTAAAGCAAACCGAGCTGGAAATGGCCAACAACATTTAACGCAATAGCACGGAAAATCGATGACAATTCAAGCGTTGATAATTTTCCTACCCACCAGCCAGTTGGTGGCATAAAAAAATGGCAACAATTCCTAACTTAAGCAATTTCCTACAATTTTCCAGCGACTCGAATGATGGTCATATGGGAGCATTCATTCAGTGACTCAGTCAGTCCGTCAGTCCGTCAATCCGTCAGTCAGTCAGTCAGTCAGTCAGGCATTCAAGCAGTTGGTCTGTTGGCCGGTTGGTCGCTTAAGCCATTGGACGTGAATTAGTGTGGCTGACTGGCAGCTGGCTAGTGACTTGGTTTTAGTGTGTGACCCATTAGAATGATCGTTGGCGAAGTTGTACGTGCGCCGTCTGATATATGTGACCCGGTTGGGGTCTGTTCGGCTCTAGCTGCGTCTGGCCCGTAAAGTGGCGCTAACAAACTCGAATGTAGCCCATTGCCAACCAGCCAACCAACCAGCCAGACAGTCAGGCAGCCAGGCGGACTGCAACTGCAATTGATTGCACTTTATAACGTGCGGTTTCCGGTAGACATTACTCGCTTTGCTGCAGCCACATTATCCGGGTCCTCAGAGAGGCAGAGAGGCAGAGTGGGAGAGACGGAGAGAGACAGAGATAGAGAAAAAGGGTTAGTGGCAGGGGAAGGGGATGGCGAAACCGCTGGGCTTGGATGCCCCTAATGTCTTTTGCCCGTACTCCTCACGATGAATAAATGAGCACTTGTCTAGGACCTGTGTGTGTGGGTCGCTGGCACCCAAGCCAAATGGCAGCAAGAAAAATTATCCCAGATATTGTCTAGTAATTTAGCTGATTAAGCTGATGGATGTAAAGCAGGGAAAGCATCGAAAGCAGCGCAATGTTGCCAGCGATCAGAGAGTGCAGATAAAGTGAAGTTGACAAGAAAAGGGTTAATGCGATTTCGACTGTGACAGCAGCCGGCGATGGCCATCCTTCTGACCTGACAACTAACTTGGCCAACCAGATACGCTTTTTGGTCATCAACTATGAAATGTTAAAAGTATTACCGACGATTTGGTATGGAGGAAGCCAAACTAAATGGACTTAAATGGCTTCTCTGATGGAGCAAACATTTTGAAAGTTATTCAATTCGTTATTTACTTAATTGAAGTTGTGAACCTAACTTATAAGCTACAGTATAAAAGGCACATCCTTACATTATATAGATATATATATAGATATAAAAGAGTATTTTTGGTTTCTCATTGCTTCTGTTGTGGTGGCTACATAATTTCTTTAGTCGTCTCTCTGTCTTGTTATTTGTGACTTTCACTTGGTTAGATTTAACGTTTCGATAAATTGAAGTTGCTTACTCACCGGCACCACATGATTCTTGGCTCCCCAGCAGATGGGCTTAAAGCTGCCTTTACGTGTGGCCTCTTGAAATTCACCAAATTGATTTTCCCAATCGTAGGATATCAGACGTGCCTCCAAAGTCATCCCAGCCAATTCGGGCGGTGATGAAATCAGCACGGGATTTGAGTCGCTGCAAAGAAAACAGAAAGATAGGCAAAGAGAGAGAGAGAGAGAGAGAGAGAGAGAGAGAGAGAGAGAGAGAGAGAGAGACATTATTAACTTTATTATTATTGTCAACTTTGATTAGGACTTAAAATTTATTACAGCCCCCCAAAAAAGGCGCTTTGCCAGCAGATTTTCGAGTTCTCCTCACCGCCGTCGACGAGGGTTGCTGGTAAGTTGGTAAGTCGGTGCAGATTTGCGCGGGATTTTCGATTGCTGAGCGAGGTGGAGAATGGCGGGGAGAAGAGGTCACAGCAAGACGGTCGGCAAAAACTTGAGCTAATTAATCTTTTAGATTTTCATTTGTGACGCGTCAAATACGTTACTTTTTTGGTATACCAAGGGTGACGCGGCCAAACGAAATAAAAACCGCACTCGTATCAAGAAGAAGGGGGCAGAAAGGAGACCAACAGCAGTGCCAGGACAAGCAGCAGGCCCACAAAACCAACAGCAAATGGGCCAAAAGTGTAAAACCTCAAAGCAGTTGGCTGGCTGCGGCAATCAGTGGCGTTGTGGGATACACTTTGCAGGGAAAAAAGATTGTTTACACAAGTTGCAATGACTAATGAGTTGGCTTAGAATTTTTAAAATATGTGTGATGTTTTTTTTCGTTTTTTTTGGGCTTTAGGGAATTTGGTTATATTCCTTAGCAACCCTCAAAAATAACTTTGTTTACGCCATTCATTAGCGTCATTTTTCATAACTATTATAAATGTTATATTTGCGGATTTATTAAAACATTTTCCGTGTTTCTGTTTGTCTTCACGAAGTAAGCAATCCTCTCAAGTATTTAGTTTTTAAGACAACACGCTTTAAGTAACTCTTCCCATGAACTTGAATATATATGCTTTATATTTGGCTGATTAAACTTTCGTTGGCAAAAGTTGTGTTTTAAACGAAAGTTTAACTGTCAAATGATTACTTATCCGACTTCAATCTGCCATTTGAGTTGAAGGTTCAGTCTTACGTTAAATCATTAAATGGAATTGAGCTCAGAATTCGCTTTTGGATTTTGTAGTTGTGCAGTTCTTGGATTGACTCGCTTGCCCTTTTGCTGCCAGCTACGCCACTGCATCTCTCGCGCAATATAAATTCCTTATACATTCATTTCATTTCATTTCATTTCATTCATACCCTCTATTCATTCATTTCATTCATTTCGCTTCGTTTCGTTTTGTTTCGTCTCGTTTCGTTTCGTTAGCGCACTCTATGATTGCCCCGCAATCCGCTGCGCCACCTCCCCGCTGCTCGCTGTATATATTTCGGCTCGTCCGCCCTTACAATTAGGCTAATTAATTTTGTTCTTTGGCTGGCATTACGAAAAATGTTGCTTTAATTTTCTAGCACACCCACACAGACACACGCACACACACACAGCAGGAACAACAACAACAGCAACAGCAACAAAAATATCATCAGCAAACGCACATTTTCTTTGTTGCTGGTTTTGACTGCTTCCTGTTCCTGTGTTTCAGCTGTGTGTGTGTGTGTGTGTGTGTGTGTGGCAGAATCCTTTGCAAGCCGCAAACAAATCTCTTTTAATTAATTTATGATTCCACTCAATCCACATCGAGGGTTGTATGATATCACAGGGACAGACAGCTCACCGAGTTCAGGTTCGGGTTTGGGCCACGGGTTGGGGTAAGTGGCTGCTGCTGTTGCTGCTGCTGCTGCAGCGAATGAGAGCCGCAACAATTTGCGGTTGGCAACACGAAAAATATTAATGTCTGCGGATTGATTGCAACCCCCAAAGCTGCAGTCGCAATACAGAAATACCACCCACAAAACTAAAAACTGGCCACTTGTTCGAATCCCGAGTGCTGACTGTGCCGTAAGAGTGTCTGTGTTTAAGCATGTGTTTGTGTGTGTGTTTGTGTGTGTGTGTGTGTGCGTGTGTGCGTGTCTGTGTGTGTGGTCCAGTTCATTGTGTACGTAGCGTAATAATAATAATATATATAAAATAATAAATTGCATTTATCCATATGTTCCGAGCACGGTTTGTGGCCAGCGTTCTGTGTGTGCACCCGTGTTCCGTATCCTGCGTCCTGCGTCCTGTTTCCTGTGACTTGCCTGCATGCGTGTATCTTTTGACATGAATCCGCTCCCCCTCTCCCCGTTTCGCTTAACCCCCGCCCGCTGCTGTTTGGTCGGTGTTTGTGGTTTATTGAGCGAACCATAGCGTCGCTCAACGCGCTGCTAATATATCCGGACACCGCGTAACCGTAACCGCCCCTTCCATCTCCCACCTAAAACCCGTAACGCCCCTTCTGCCACACGATGCCATAATAAATATAAATGCAGTGGAAACGCACACAGCTGTTACTAATGTTAAAAGGCACTGCCAGAACATAGATTATGCTGATCCCTCTGCACTCTGGACCCCATCCCTTGCCTGTCCACTTGTTATCCCACAGCCGCCTCATCAATCGGTGGCCGTTTCAGTCTTATGGCTGTTGACTTCATTGGCACTCAGTATAATTAAAATTATGAGCCAGCAGCAGCAGCAGCAGCAGGGAGCAGCAGCAGGACAAAAGCTGTGTCTCCACTTTGGTTTGCCATTGTTGATTATAAAATCCAATAGCCCTGCTGCACCACACACATCACACTGCACACATGTATGGAGTGCGCACCACCCGAAAATGCATTCCTGGATGGGGTGGTCACAGATTGCCCTGCAGGGCATAGGTTCTAACAAAAGGCAACTAGCAACGGGAAACGGCAACGGCAACGGCAACTGCAACTGCAACTGCAATGCGATTTTCAATGGGTTTATTTATGTAGCGTTATGACAGCAGCGATTTTCCCACTGTGAATACTTCACTGTGTGTGTGTGTGTTTGGTTGTGTGCATTTATGGTGCCTATATGTATGGGCGAAATTGAATTTTGAACTGGCATTGCAATTGCAATTGGCAGAACGGCAAAAGGCAATGGCCATGTTGATGACAAATGAAAACTAAAATTGCCCAAATAGCCAACTGCCATTGGTCAAAAAGGAAAATGTCAGCCGCCACTTGGATATATGCATGTTTATGCATATGAATGGATAGTTTGTGTGTTTAAAATTAACTCAATGCTGATTGCATTATACAAGATAATGCAATCCTAAATATTTGATAAAAACCTTTAAATAACAATTATTTCATCGAGCCAGAAAAAATGTTTAGGCAAAACAATTTTTATATTTATATTAAGCATGTTTGCCAAAAACTCATTAAGAATAATTCTTGTTCGGAAAAACTAACTACAGATTACAAAGGCAAGATACGTTCTTCTGTCAAGCAACTTGATTTCCTTTGCCATTTACGGTTGAAAAGTCAGAGAAAACTGGAGAAGAACAAAAGAGAAGCTCATCAATCGATGGACGTTGATGGTGTAATGAATGAAAAGAAAATGTAAAACAAGAAGCCATCAAGCAATAAAGGATATCAAACAGGATATCGAGTCCTTAATGAGCCTTGCCTTGGAAATGAAAGGTAAAACAACTCGCGCATTTAAAAATAGCGATACCTTTATCAGTTCGAGGGTCTGAAACAATTAACCAAACAACAACAGTGTGTAATGAAACCAATTTCGGCGGAGAGACAGCCCAAAGAGAGAACTTCAACAATTACTTTGATTTTAATGGTGCGTAATTAAGTAACGAGTCACACACACACACACACACACACACAGGCATACACACACATGAGCATATAGTTAAAATTAATTTGGATGCCATGGCCAGTGTGTAAATTGTGAAAACCACTATCACATTATTTTTGGGCGAATAAAAAAGTGACGGAGCAACAAAATTCCAAACGATAACGCAAATTAAGCCAATAACTGTTGTTTGTGTGTGTGTGTGTGTTTGTGTGTTTGTGTGTATGTGTGATCAATGAAACTCCACCGGAAGCTGGTTGCACTGCTTGCCATTCCACTACCCAACGAGAGCAATAACAGGATTCTCATGCGAATGCCAGCATTGTGCTTCATGTTCCGGGGTCTCTCCGTGCAGGCTCCAACACCAATGCAAGCCAACGACTCCAACGAGTTTTGCATGAGGTTGACGATGACGATGTCGATGTCGATGTCAATGTCGATGAGTCCTGGCCGGGCATGGGCTGTATTCTGTCCTCTGCTGTTGGCCATAACTCCAGCCAGTGTGAGCTGCCTGCCTCGTTAGTGTGTGGTGCGCTGGTCAATTGAGCCACAGTTGAACTGCAAACAATTTTTGAATGTACACGCACACAGACATGACCCTCAATCGACTTGAGCTCAGCTCTCGGTAGCTGCTCTAGTCGCAAAATCTATGCGTATCGAATTAAATTGAAATTCGAGCGTAATAAGCAACTTGTTCAATGCAGTCCAGTATTTTGAGCAGGTTGCGGGTTGTCTTGTCAAGTAGCCCATAATTACATTAGTTGTGTACCTCATTGGATGGCATGCATGTTTCGGTTATCATTCCTGACCGGATAGGGGGACAAAATTGCGCATCAAAGGAAACCGTAAGCTGCATGGCAAATGCCGAATTATGGTTATAATCTAAGCGAATCGTTACAATTCCATAAGCCTCTCAAATAATGCAATTCAATTTTGCACTGGCTTATAATTTGCACTATGCGTCAAATACGCTTTACATCATATAATGTATGATGTATATATTATATATCTAGTCTTTTTTGGCCACGCTCATTGTTTCCTTATAATTCAACAGATTTCTAACTAAAACTCTGTTTGGCTTTCATTTATTTAGCAGCATTGGCAATCAGTTGCGCTCTAAAAACCGTTTGAGCTTGAAAACCTAATTGTAATCCACCGTTCAGTCTATTGTGGTGTTTGTCTAGTTTTTGTCATTGTTTAATTAAACTTGAAGCGCACAAGCGGTTTTGTGGTCAATCTAGAACCAGACACCACCCCCAATTTCGGATCCGTCATCTCCCCTGCTCACTCTCTCTCTCTCTCTCCCTCTCTCTCACTCTCTCTCTCTCTCTCTCTCTCTCTGTTGTACCTTGCTCATTGGATTACAGTTCAAAAACAACTATGGCAATTTCATTCGGCTGTTGTATTTGTTGTTGTCGTTGCACCATTGGACTTTCATTATGAATTTTAATCCGCATATCGCATTCGCACTTGCAGTTCAGGCCCGGTTACTGGTCCAGACACCCCCGCACCTGAGCCGAACCGAACCAAACCGAACCGAACCATTAAGCGGTACAAAATTGCAGTAGCCATAATAACTGACCAACAACAGTAACAATAATAACAACAAGCATTGCAATGCAAGCATTCATGCCATTGTATAAACCAAACAACATCAACAACAGCAACATCAACAACAACAACAACAGACACAACAACATGTAGCAGGACGAGAGCCATAACGACAGACAATTGCAAATGACTTTATCAATTCATGTCGATTTTCGGTAGACACAGTTCAACTTTCCATTGTATGCGTGTGTTTGTGTGAGGATGAGTCGAGGGTGGGCTTTGTATGGCGGTGTCGGGACAAAAAGCCAGTGCATGCCATCGCCTCACAATCACTTACAGCAACGCAGCAAACAATGGCGACAACAACAACAACAACAACAACAAGTGGAGCACCAGCAAATACGCAGAGAATTCGAAGAAAGGCGCAGAAATGCGCCTCAAATATGCACATTCATACATATCTGATGTGCCTCGCTTGCGAGAGATTATCTAATGCGAACGGGCTTCAAATGATTTAACGGGCAACTCTTAACGTGGCTCGAAAGACCTTTACAAACTCAGAGCCGACTTTGGTGATATCAGTTATTTTATCAGAGACTGCATAAGTGATGTGATAATTCTATTTAGTCTCAATTTAAAGAATTACTATGCATATTTTAGGTGATTTACCTGCAACAGCTTGCAGCTTTACTAAATGACTCTTAACAACTTTCTAAAAGAACTTTGACAAAATATATTAAAGAGAGTTCATAAGGGAATCTAACTTACAAATATTTACAATCGAAACAATTAGGAATTTCTCATTAATTTCAGTTGAATGGATTCTTCGAATGTATCAATTTAGAAAGCAATTCTTTAATTGAATTTCAGAGATTCATTTGTCAGCTTTAAGCAAATCTCCAATTAATCGTTTTTAATCCGCTTGAGCTTGACTTTATTTATTTACCATTAACATTCAGACCGTGCCCCAAGTGAGAAACCAATCAAATCTTCAGGACGAGTGCTCCAGCAACACTTTGGTCCTTCAGCCTCATAACTCATTTAGGTGGCCATGTTTCCGTTCTTACCTTCACTTGGTGCCTTAATCTATTTATGCCGTTTACTTTGATTTGCGCAATGAAGCGAAGGAGCGAAGGTACGAGTATATAAAAAGAAATTCAGGGGTGGCATAGAAAATTATCTTTGATTTTGACTTGACCGCGTCGGTCTTGTGTCAATAGGAAGTGATTAATAGAGCGTGCCCTCACAGAGCCGGCAACCCTCTGGATTCTCCACCTATTGCACATCAATTCAAAATGAATCTCGAAGCTGACATTCAGGTTTAATTTCGACTAATTTTCAGCGAATGCTTTAATACAATATTTATGGGGCTCCTCCCCCGAGATGATTATGCCCGACCGCATTTGAATGGAAGGCAAAGCAATTCAGGAGTCAAGTGCAGGCAGTAGCGTTCCCGGATTCGATCTGTACAAATGAGCTGGCGAACTGACGAGGTGACGACCTGGCGAACTAACCGAATTGTGGCCATGTGGTCTGTTTATTTAGCACTTTGCGCTTAATAGAAATCAATATTTTCTAAATAAAGCGTATTGGCGTCGGAGGTTGCGGTGGCATAGGTAGAATTCACTTGGATGCCACTCAGCCATGTCTCGTAATTTATTTTTGCACATTTACAATTAGAGAGCACTGTGCAGAGAGCAGTTTATTTTCCAATTGTTTGTTAGGCAAATACTTCAGACCGAGGAATACTCCCGATGGATGCCAGGTTCTTCAGCTCGGCCTCCTCTCTCTCTCTCTCTCTCTCTGTCTTCCTCTTCCTCTTCACAGGTCACGTGGTTGTGCCAACTTCGAGTTCGTTAGGTGATTTGGTTATGCAACAACATCATTAAATCACCAATTACCTTAGTCAACAGAGGAATAAACTGAATTTCCTTATACACAATGCCCAACGTCAAGTGGATGCAGAAAGCATTGTACAATGGGCCAAATGTAATATGCTCTGCATAAATAGTTGTTCCTCTTTTGTTTTAAGTATAAAAATATATTGCACTTCTCTAATCATTTATATCGATCTATTTTGTTTCTAATTGGTGTAAATCAATTGCTTTTAATTTTTCGTGCATATTGCACTAATTCTCGATCATTTTCTGCATTCCCTTAAACTAGGCGGACTGATTTTATCGATGAATGCATCACTTTATCGATATCTCAACAACGTATGCATTTTTTGGACTCAGCTAAATGTCAATATTCATTTGGCTTGTCAGTCGAATTTCGCGTCCATTGTGTGGCATGTCTGGCAGAAGCTTTCGACTTCGACGAACGACTTAAAATAAATTCCACCATATAATATTGTATATGTATATGTCTATATGTATATATATATATCATTTGTATAGTACAAGTGGGGAGGGTGGGGTAACTTACGTTGCGAGTTGTTCGATGCCGAGGGAATGCAACACTGTGGGCAGGCTGGGTAGTGAGTGACACGTTGTCAGTTTCTTTTGGCGTGGATAGTAAAGTGTCAGCACGGTGCAGCTTTCTTCCTTCATTGTGAGTCCACCTGCAAATAGGGAGAATGGGAGAGAGAGCATAAGAAACGCATAAGAAATGCAACGGCGGAAACAACAAGAACACAAAATCGGCAAACAAACGACAAAAAAGAAAATATTGCAATAAAGGAATAAAAATATCGTACGGCTGACAACACACACAAAATGCAAAAATACAGCACGGAACTCTGGGCGACAGTCACCAGCGAGGACAATTTCCTGGCTGGCTGGCTGGCTGGCCAGGTAAGTCTGAATCCCTTACCAATCTCCACCTGACCCCCCGTCCCGGCCTACGACCCCTCTCTCCCACCGCCCACTGTATCTACTCATTGCGATAACTCACTGACTCACTGGCTATGAACAAAAGACAAAATTAAGCGTCCGTTGGCTGTAAAGCAGCAGGCGCCATCATAATAATATTCCACAAGACGAAATTGATGGAAGCAGGCTGAAGGATGCAGGATACAGGATGCATGGACCTGAAGCGGGAGCTGAAGCTGGAGCTGGAGCGAAGCAGCAGAAGCATTGGCATTGCCATCACCAACATCAGCATCAACATCAACATCATCTTCCTTATCCCAATCCCAATCCCCATTGTCATCGTCATCATCATTGCTTTATTTGAGTTGGAAGCTTTACGTTTTCGACTCATACGCCTGACTGCCTGTTTTACTGCTCGGCTCGCGGCATTCGTCTGCTCGGACTGTGTCTATCTCTCTCTCTCTCTATCTCGACACACACATATATATCAGTGTGCTCCTCCTGCCTTTAGTGCAAAGTCGTTAGGCATGGTCTATTACGATTGTGCCTCCACAGAGTTGCACTCAATTGTTGCCGCTGCGTTCATTCACTTAGTCTAGATTGTAGATTGTGTGCTGAATTTGTGCAGCTAGCAAGAAACTTCTTGCAAATTTACGATTCATGTATTCTCTATTTTCTGTAAGGAGTGTTCGCCACGCTCGCTGAGAATAACCCACTAAGTAACAAATGGCCAATTGTGGAGTAGTTGTGGAACTTGATGCTATTCTCGTATTTGCAGTTCGTCAGAAAGTAAATTTACTTTTCCATGGTGCTTTCAAATTTATAAATGATTTTCTTATATAAGTGGTGATCTCGTTTTGTTTTTTTGTTTATAACAATTAGAGATTTCTGAATCATTTCTACAGAATAAATTTGATTTCATCATCGAAACTTTTTCTTTAAGGATTAAGCTTGATAGTGGTAAGTTTCAATTCCCGATTGTTTAAATATTAATTATTTGACAATTTTCTTTTAGTTGCTTTTCAGTTGCCTTTTTAAAAAAGTCCGAGACTTCCGTATGTTGATTAAGAAAAGTACATTTCCCTTCTTTTGTGATCAACACATCCTTTTGTTGTCCTGCTTCACAAATTACATTCTACGGCAGGTGTCTTTTGTAACTGCACCAATACGCTGCTTGCTTCCCTCTCATCTGACTGTCACATTGTCCACTTTGCTGGAGAGACTTGTACAGTTGTCAGTGCACCATACCCCAACCCACCCACACTGCTCCAGTGTTCATCTCAACACCCACATTGCAATGGGGTTGAGGCTGACGTTGACACCCAGCCCGCTTAACACCTGGCAGTTTCGTGCTAAGTGAAATGTTTCAATGTCTTGGTTTATATATTTTACAATGAGGTCGTCAGCGCCGCCTCCATTACAGCCCGCTTCTGCTCTGGCCTGCTCCTGCTTCTGTTCCTATCCCTGTCCCCGTTTACGTCCCTGATACTGCTACTTTTTCTTCTCCTTCAGCTTGGCAGGCGGCTGTCGTGTGCTTCATTTTTGTTTCACCGTATGACGGTGCCTGGTTCTGGTTTTGGTTCTGTTTCAGTTTCAGTTTGTGGTACTGCACTTGGTCCCTTTACTGCTGCTGACTGCTTATCGCTTCTTCTTCTTCTGTTTCTTCTTGTGGCTGTCGCATATCGTTTGGGCTGATTTAAATGTGTCATAACGATGACTCGCCTGTTTGCCAGGACGAGGGGGGAAGCAACGGGTAAGCATTGAACATTTTTGCAGTTTTCCGCACGACAATGGCTGCTTGCAATTTTTATTTACTCTGCCCATATATTTTAGGGCTCCCTTAAGCGGAAACATGGGGGGGCAAGGGTAAAATGGGTTGGTTTGGCTGGTTGGCTGGTTGGCTGGTTGATTTTGGAGCACTTACCCAGGGTAATTGCCTTTCGTGACGAACTGTCATAAATGCATTCGGCGATGAGTCTATCGCCGGGCATGGAATGCACCGACTGTGGCAAACGTCGAAAGTCCTGATAGGCCACATCTATATTGCTGTCGTGTGCAATTGGCGGAAGCTCCTCGGTTTGTCGTATCTGCAAAAGTTAGTTTGCTCATTAGCATTGGCTTTGTCGTTGGCTCTCGCTCTCTCTGGCTCTGGCTCTGGCTTTGGCTTTGACTCTAGCTGGTCGCTATAATCGTCGCTCAATTCGCAGAGCGTTGTTCTATGCAAATAGAAGAGCACTTACCTGGCGCAGCTTAACCTCCTTGCCGATTTGATGTGTGCGCATCATGACCGCAAAAATGTTGATGCCCGGTGCGGGGAAGGCATACCCGGTGCAGTCCTCAATGCACTGGCCCTCGGATATCACGCGCTTCTGTCCCGGCGGTATAATGTGGCGCCAGTTGGGATCCATGCCTGTAAATGTTGAGAGAGCGTGTGTTGAATGCTTTTAATTAACGCTCCATCAAAGACACTGGCAGTTAGCATGTCATGCACAATCCCCAACAAATTCGATACCCACGAGCCACATCCACTCTCATTTTGCCAGCTATCACTGGCACTCTACTTATTTAGCTTTGAACGTTGATTTTTTAATTCGATTTGTCGCAAAACGTGTAATTACATTTTAATTGCTGCTTTTGATGTTTGTTAACAACTTTGTCAGTGCAACGTAGACAAAAGAAAAAAGAAAAAAACTGGCAGAGGTTCGCTCCCATCGTATATACATACATATATCAATTAGGAATCTTTTTAGTCTTTTAGCAATTTGTTTGACAATCACATTATTTTTTGTGTCTGTGTGTGTCTTAGCTGAGTTTGGTGTGTGCCACGCTCCTCCTCGCGCTGTCTCAATTAGTTAAATGTTGCGGAATATTGTTCATTCGCCGCGTTGGCTGTCGTTCTTCTCATCAGTATACGGAATTAAGTAACCCGTGTCGCCGGTCGGCGTGTTGCAAAAAATATTTGAAATTCATGTGTGCCACATATTTTTATTTACCACTGTTTGGCGTTTCAATTGTGCTGTGCGTGTGTGGGTGTGTGTGTGTGAGTACTGCTGTGAGTATGCCAATCAAAATACTCGCGGAAAATGTTTGGCATTGCTGGGTACGAAAAACCTCTTTTACTAAGAGCCCCCAACTGGCAATTGATTTTTATTGTGAATCCGCGTGAGCGTCCTTCTTGTTTCCTTTCTTTTTTTTTTTTTTTGTTTTGGTTTTTTGTTTTTGCTTTGTATTTTTAAAGCCTTTTTACGGTAAAAGAATTGCATGTGTTTGTATTTATAGCTTAGTCATGCTCGGTTAGCAACATTTGATAGGAAACATACAAACATACAACGACATACGAGTTGATTGGATTGCAGTAATATTACCTAGTGTGTATCTACACTTTTAATGGAATCAAAGCGATTTTCTTTCTCTACTTTCCTACTTGTATATTGCGCTTAGAGCAAATACAAGGATTCTTGTACAAAATATGACTTTGATAATTATGCTTGTTAGTTGGTTATCAGACATAAATTGCCTGGTTCAATGAAAACAGAAAGCAATAAAAACATAATCTATGATTACTGTGTAAAAACAAACTATCAGCAATTTATGCTATAATCCCATATCTATTGGACAGATTTTCATTAGAAGGCTTAAGCGTTATCTAACAGTTTCGGGTTGGGACAAATGTGATTTAGTTCAATTATAAGTGAAAGCCAGACCGTTAATCGAATTGTCCAATAAAATACAAATGTGGAGTCAACAAAATCAAATCGAAATTTTGCAGCAGGTGCTCGTGTTTGTGACACAAAGTGCCATTTAAAATAATTAGAAAAGTTGTTCGTTCCAATTTTTGATACAGTCGCCATTTTGCACTGACATTGCCGTGTTGCAACGAGTTGGTGCTGTTACTGCCGCTGCTGCTGCTGCTGCTGTTGTCAACGCGGCAACGGTGCAAGGCAATTGGCAAATTTGCCTCCCCACATAGAATTCGCTTCCGCTATGCAGTCCGGCATTCGCATGTTAAATATCGATTTGAAAAATATGCAGTTATGAATTGTGCCATGGCTCACAGTGTCGTCTGGCCAAATCAAATAGAAATAGAGCCAGTATGGCAGGCAGTAAGCGCTCGTTGCCAAAACAACCAACCTCCAAAATCCCATCCCCAAAATCAACTCGCACTCGTTGCGCCGATTTGGCCAATATTGAATTTGATTTAATGAATGGAAATTGGCAAAAGCATCGGAAGAGCGATAGCGAGATGCGCTGACAGTAATTTATGTACCGGAGTGTTATTGAAATCTTTTTCGATTTAATTTCATCAAGTTATTCAAATTGGCGTTTTGTATGCCAACAATTTATATGCTTTTTTTTTTAAGCCAACAAGTAACTTGGATATGATGTTTTAAAGTACAATTTTCCTTTAACTTAGTAGGCAGCATGCATCAATGTGTTGCAAAGCTCAACTGTTCGTCTTATTTATATTATTATGAGAATTTTATATTTCGCTCACAGAACATTTTAATTTTGTATTTGATTATTCTGTGTCTGTAGTTGTCAAATAAAATGGTTGACTAAATTTGAATAAATGCAACTCAAAAGGAAGATTAAGATAATCAAATTATTCTGATAAAGATATTTGAGTTAAGCACAGAACAATAGATTTTAATTTTATGTCGTTTTTCAGAATCACTCTCAACAGCTTAACGACCATCTGGTGAACAGTGTTTTTGCGCTTTAACTGAACAAAATTTGATAAATGCGCATGAATTGCAATTTGGAATTAAATTGATGATTTTGCCCTCTGAATGCGCTTCGGCAATATTTGCTAGATACTTTTTTATTCGAACTTCCACACCTCCTCCTCCTTGTAGCACGTTGATTGATTTTGTTCCATGACATTTTATAAAATGACCAACACAAGATAAAACGCGAGAGAGTTTTATAAGCCAACATGCCACAGTTAAAATTCGTATTCGTAATTGAAAATTGATTTCAACAACACGATGATGACGCTGATGACAATCATTATGGGAAAAATGCTAAGCTTAAATTAAATGCGGCAATGTCATATGAAAATTAATAGATTTAAAATTCAGGGCAAATGTGCATTACAAATTTGTGTGAAATGATTAAATTGATAAAAACGTATTCGATTTAATAAACGGCATGGAAATTTAACTTTACAACTGATATGAATTCTGTATAAATTCAGATTGGCATTTGCCAAATTTAAAGTAGTGTAGAATAATGGCATCATGTTATAACTATTGGAATGCACGATGTATAATCTCTGAAGTTTCTTGTCAATTTGTCGAGCACTTATCTTGTTCGATTATTTATGTTCTACTCGGCTTAACAAGCTCCCCGGCGCATTGGCAACAGTTTACGCTCTGGCTCCAATCATCCCCCATCTCCAAGGTGCCATAAAAATTCGCCAAGCCGCAGCAACATTAATCAAAGCAGCGCTGCATACACCAGAGCGCTATATCAATAACCAATTAACTTGAAATTAAATTTTGCCACACGGACGAGAGAGCGACCCACAGGAGACACACAGATCCCCGTAAAGAGGGACAAACAGACAGACAGACAATCGTACGGGAAGCATAGCAATTTCGCAGCTACTTACGCGTGTGGGTCGAGCCGCTTTGGCTTGTCCTCCGCTCCCCGTAGTAACGCCACGTAAGAAAAAAACATCCAAACGTAATTCAATTTATAGCAAGCCAGCAAAATGTTGCAAACGTTTATATATATATATATATATATATATGTATTTATATGTACATATACATATGTGTATCTTTTTAATTTTATATATCAAATGTAGATATGTATTTTTATGCGTTTGTAGATATTTTTTATTTATTGACTTGCGTGTTGTGGTATGCGTTAAATTCCAATTAAATATTTCAATAGCATTGCCAACGCTGGAGAACTGGGAGAGTTTGAGACCACCCCAGCCACAGACAGAAGCTAGTGGTGCCTGCTTCAAGGATTGCAAGACGCGTCCCTAAAATTCTTATACATATATATTATTTATATATATATATACATATATATATATACGTATCTATAAGCACCGTTTTCATCTCTTATTATTTTTTTTGTTTTATTTTATTTTTGTTGCGCTTATTCGCTTCCGAAAATTGCACTGTATCAGAATGTATTAATCTACTTCTGTGCCGTAATACTCCGGAAGTTTTGGCAACACCTACTCAAAAAGCATCGAAAAAACGTGCGGGCAGCGGGTGGGTGGAAGGGGCGCATGATACCTTCTTCCTGTATGGCTTATTCCCCCACTCCCCATCCGCAGTCCCAACTGTGTTGGCCATGTCTCTGTGCGGTTGTAACAAAGTTATATTGGTTTGCGTGACTATGAACAAAAGTAAAATAACAATTACAGCAACAACAGCAACAAGGCAACAAAAACACAGCGGCCACAGTGTCCGCCCTCCATCCCCGTAGTCTGGTGGCCACAAGCAAACACAAAAACCAAAACGAAGCAACCAAAAGCTGAACAACAGCAAAAATAACAATAAGAAATAGACTCAGAGGTGGGAGTAGAACCCAAAAAGGAATAAAAAAAATTTACAAAAAAAAAAACACAAAAATAGAAAACAAATTGTAAAGTGAAATTAGTATTTTAGTTATCCTGTGCGCAGGCATAGCAATATGTATATGGAAAGGAAACTTGAAAATTTGTTTAGCTAGCTCTGGTGGGTTGTCGGGGTTGTCGGGGTTGTTTAGGATACTAGTTGTACAATACACCTTCTCACAAAGCCCTCAAGCCGGTTGAACACACGAATATTGTGGTAAGCGACTATGCTTAAGCGTGGTTCGCTCAGGAAGTTAGTAAAAGATGGAAACTTACGAGAAATACATATATTTGTAAGTAGAGAAGGCAACTTGAGACTTGTTGGTGTTCTCAATGATTTTAGAACAATGGAATTTGAAGCCAGTTTACATTTCAATGCACACTGCATTAGTCTACAGTTCAGAGTTTCGACTACTAAATAAGTTTTCATTCTAGCTCAAAGAAACCCACGAGTTATTTAAAATCTATATGAGTAATAACTAAAACTCTCTTTCTGTACCTATATTTTCGCTGTTTCAGTAAGTTTTTTAATATGTTTATTCGACACAGAAATATACTTAATTGCTGCAGTCCCCGTAGCTACTATACAAATATATTTGCTTTATGGCCAATAGACGCGAATATTTTCCACCCTTAGGCCAGTTAAATAAATAATCGAAATGTGGAATACCACAAAGTTTTAGACTGACTGAATTGCCATTAGTAATTTATTAATTTGCTTTATGCGTGCTGTCCATGATAAATAATGCAAACATAAAATCGCTGAACAAATTGTTTGTCTATTTTTTTGTTTTTTTTTTTTTTTGTAATTTGTTAGTCTGGTTTGCACCCTAAGAGACACTCCTGATAAGCAATTAAATATATATTTCTATTGTATACCAAATTGTGAATACAGTCTGGGACCATAGTCAATGTATAGCGCTTTTGTTTCAACTGTTCCGGCAGGACACACCTTTAACCACGACACACACACACACATTGATACAAACTCTCACACACACACACACACACGTAGAAAAACTCATAAGCTTTTGTTTTACTAGCCACCAATGCGGCTGCAGGTTTTGCAGACCGCTTTAACTGCCAGCTCTCCGCATCCAACAACTGAACAACTCCCAGGGTCGTTTTTGGACTCGGCAATCTCATAAATTGCATGACATGAGTTGCATATATGAAAGCTTGCATCGCATAAAATATACACTCAAACACACACACACACACACACACAGACAGACAGTATCCACTGCATTTGGCGCACACACACACACAAAATGACTCGTACATAAAGGTATAAATGTATGTGTGTATTATATACATATCTATTTGGTATGTTGGTGATGGTGACCCAAACTTACCGATTGACAATATGCCAGCGTCATTTGGTCGCAGCACGTGCGTAAAGTAGATTTTCAAACCCGAATTATCCGCCATTTGTCTGGCATGCAATTGGGCAAAGTCCGGCTTCAAATTGTTGTAATGGGTCTCCATTAAATAATATTTGGCCTGTCGCGACTCAATCGGGTAGCCGGCTTCATGTGGATATGTAAAGCCCTGCAAAATATAAACGACACATTATGAAAAACAAAAGAGCTCCAAAAACACAAACCAAAATAAAAGCAGAACCTTCCAGTGTTGATTTTATACAACACACCCATGCATATTTTTGTATGTTTGTATGTATATTTGTATGAGTATATGTATTTGTACTTATATATATACAGCTGGCAAATGAAGGACGGAAGTTGATGCCATGGTCATGTGCAATTTAAATTCGCTGCAAGAGCGGCAACAGCAGCCGCCATTCAATTGCATTGCATTACATTGCATTGCAGTGGCACTGCGCCCCTTGGGCGCCCAAAATAAGGCAACACATGGGCACACGGGCACATGGGCACTGCATTATGGGGCTCCTGTGATGAAATTATGAAAAGCACGACAAAAAAAGGGCTTCAGAAGGGCAGAAGGCCAAGCCGTTTCTTTATGTAAATGCCCTTTGCAGAAAACGGGGTACTTAAACTTAATAGATATGCTCGTCAAAGGAACTATTCGCTTGCTACAGAATAGACTGCTAATAATATTTTAACACTTGCCTAATATCAAAGACCAGAGAGATTTATATATAGTTTGAATGTTTATATAAGTTGAAATGTTTACATATTAACTATATTATTAATATACAATTTTATTTTCTGACTTGAATCTCAGCACACTCTTTGGCTCTTTTTATGATTATTTTTCTAGCTCAAACATTAATTTCTTTATAAAATTTTAACTTTCTTCTTAACTTTATTTACCATTAGAAAGAATTGTAATTGTAAGGCTTTTGAATCAAAGGCTTGGAAAGGTTTAGACTTGACTACTGAACTCATTTCATAAAATATTTTGTTAGCTTGCTCGTCCTGTTAATAAACTGCTGTACAATTCTAGCATATCCTGATTTACCATATCTATTTAATGTTACTGCATTTGAATGAATTTATGCTCTCCTAATCAGAATTTGTGCAAGAGTATTTCAAGTTTCATACTCTACATTCAATGCATTCGTGTACTTTGTGTTGAAAGGAAGCATTTGCGAAGGTTAAATTAATATTGCATGGTTATGGTTCTGATGCTGATGGGTGGCAGGTTGGGCGGGTATGGGTATGGATATGAGTTCAGCAGAGTTAAGCTGTGCTGAGCTGAGTTGAGTTAAGTGCAGTTGAATCAGATGCTTGCTTACCTCACTGCCCCGCGACCAGGAGGCAACAATGGCATTGCATGCCAGCGGTATGGAACGGGCGCCCATGCACTGCCTGCCCTGTTCGCGTGCCAGCTCCTCCAGCTCCGAGTGCGAGCCTTGGCATTCGTGGAGCGTTATGTGCTGCAAGTAGTGTACGCTGGACGATGAATCATAAATCGGCTCGTACTGTTGGTCCCATGAAAAGAAAATGAACACATCCACAGTGAGAGAGTGAGTGAGTGAGTGAGTGAGTGAGTGAGTGACTCAGCCAACAGGAGAGACAGAGATAAATAAATTTTTAATATTTCAATTTGGTTATGCCGAGGCAAAGGACACAGAAAAACGAAAATAAAACGAAACGAAACGAAAACTGAATGCAGCAAAGAACTGCGCTCTTGGCCTCAATTATGCATGGCATATAAGTAATAACGTTTAGCAATGGCCACCAGATATTTCTTACCCGGATGAGATGATGCTTGCGATTGATATCCTCCAGCTTGAACATTTTGCACCAAAATAGTGGCGTATCGCCCGCAGGCAGCTCCACGTCCTCATTGCGCAATTCCAGCACACGAACGCGCTCATCATGCGGCGTTGGCAACTGCAGCTGGGCCCGTTGCATCAGCACCATCGGTCGGTAAGGACGAAAGGCTTGCCCCGGATCGGGCAGCGTGCCGGGACGCAACGAGCCGTGCGGTGGATCCTGTGCGTGATACATGTACAGCAAACGCATCGTGTCGTTCTGTAAAACAAAAGAAGAAAAAAAGAATGAGAAACAGAATGAGAAGCAGAATGAGAAACAGAATGAGAATCAGAATGAGAAGCAGAATGAGAAGCAGAGTGAAAGGGGGCATGGATAATGAAGAGTTGAAAAATGTGTAAAAAATTAGTACGCAAAGGTGTCTGTGTGTTGCTCGCTTCTCTTTTTTTAATGGGAGTTGCAATAAATGGCATTATGATAGCACTGCCTGGAAGCAACAACAGCAATAATGTCGCTGCTGACGTGTACACGGATGGACTGTCTGGCACTGGCGGCTATGTAAGAGCCATGGGGAAAGCTGCCCAACGAAATTAAGTAAAAGTTAAAAGAGGCAACAACAAAAATGGGGGTAAAAAAAAAAAAAGAAAGGAGATGCGCACGAGCTGAGCAACGGAAGGAAACGGAAGTCGCCTTGCGGCCATTGGCAACTGGGCTCAGGTGTTGTTTGTTCAGTTGCAGTTCACTTTGCTGTTTCGTGCCCCATGTTTTCATGTACCTACATGGTACTTGTTCCGACTTGTAAGTACATAATTGTAAACAGAGGGTATGAGGCAGACAGCTAAGGCAACGTTGCCACAATTCAAAGGGCTCCTTAATTATTGGATCACAGGCAGTGATAAAATGAGTACAAGCATTGCTTAAGAGAAAATGTGATTGCTGTTTAAAACTTTTTGTATGTAACTAGATGGCAAAGGAATAAGAAACCTGCTCACTAAGCAAATTTGACACAGTTGGAATTTTATGAAGTAGCTCTATAAATGTTATACTTTCAAATAGTTTATAATTTGCTTCTCTCTTCGAATGTTGCTAATATTATAATAATAAAAAAAACAAGTAAAATTTGCAGGCAACGTTGCCACATTTAGCAAATTGCTAAATTTAATTGCTGTAATTGAGTCCAGTTTACAAGTTTTATCTGAATAATTCAGAGGGCATTTTAAGTAAGCTTAAGCTCAACCAACTATTAGTAATGCTCTCAACTTAATTGCTCGACAGTTAGAATTGCATTGGAGCTGCAACGTTGCCAAACTTCACACAGGAATTTCTATGTTGTTGACTGTACTTAAACATTTACCAAAATTTTGCAGTTACACTTGTTTTTTTTCATTCGTTTTACCCACACCACAAATCCAGCCAAGGACTCGTTCTGTTCGCCAATATACATCTTAGCTTCAAAACAGCTTTTAAACGTCTAGCGCGCCCAACACTCCTACACATAGCAATACACACACACACACACACACACACACACACACACACATACATACACACATCTTGTTTGGCTTGTTGTGGCCATTTCTTTTGTATTATGTATGTCTGTGGCTAGCATGTGTATTTCATTCGCCACGTAGTTTTAATTGGTAAACCCAAATTAAAGCTTTCATTAAAGAATCACAACACGACGGACGACGGACGACGGACGACGGACGAGGTACGACGAACGACGGACGACCCGTCGGCCCAAAATGTGCTCACGACCGAGAGGTACTCCTGTATACAGTATGACCTCTGCACTCCTCGCCTCCTTGCGTTGTTTGTGCTTGACTCATATGCCTCGGGGGCTTTTGGAAGCCAACAGTCAGCTGTCATTGTGTGCATGTCATGTGCACGTGTATTGGTCTCTCTCTCTCTCTCTCTCTCTCTCTCTCTCTCTCTCTCTCTCTCTCTCTCTCTCTCTCTCTCTCTCTCTCTCTGTCTCTCTGTGTGTGCAGCGACACAACAGCAACAACTATAATAACAACACATGTAGCAAACATGGCATGAGAGGGTACTGGGATGTAGGGTATGTTGCAAAAAAAAAAAAAAAAAATAGATATAAAAAAAAACTGCAACCCGGTCAGGGCATCCATTTGAATTCATTGTGGCAAAGTGCCCATTGTAGCTGTTAAGTGGAACTGTAGAGCACCATGTTCGACAATTGACGGCCAGGGCAGTCAGGGCCATGCCCAGGACAGCAGCAACGAACAACGAACAGCAACAAACAGCAACAACGACGAATCCTTGTCTACTTGTTCATTTTGCCAGCAACGTGGAGACAATACTTTAATTAACAATTCCCATCCCCCTCATCCATTCCCATACCCTTCTTTTAGTCGTACCGCCCCCGACTTATTCAGTCTGCAAAAAACCTGTACAAATGACTCGGTTGCCCGCTGTCCTGGCAAACACTGCGGGCGGCTGCGGCAAACGCGCTAACCGGCCGGCAATCGCCAGCCAGCCAGCCAGCCAGCCAACGACAAAAACAACAACAAAATGGTAACAATAATAACAACAACAACAACAACAGCCCATTTGGGGGGTAGCAGTTTTAAAACATTTGCCGTGCGACAGGCGCAGCACAAAAGTCATTAACGTGGCTACGTCGTTGCTGGACATGGCCCAGTTGTAAAAACATGACCACTGTGAAAAAAACTCAGCAGTCATTCAGTAACTAAAAAGCTTCTCGCAGGTGTATGCCGAATGTGAAATGCCCTTTAATGGTTGACACTCTACTTCGATTAGTAACACAAGGATATAATCTGAGAGCTTACAGAAAGTCTTAATCTAAAATTCAGAGCTAACAATTTGGCTTGTGTCTTCTGTTAAAACTCCAAAGTAAGCCGCGCAGAATTATTGAAGAAGAACTTTTATGAATTTGGAAGTAAATTCGTTCGAAAAAAAAACAATTTATAGAGATTTTATTTTAATTCAAGCTTTAACTATTACCTGGAAGCGACTAACCACTTTTTAATCAGAAATAGCTACATTCCCAATTCCAAACCATAACCTTATTAAATATCCGGTTGCAATGAGTTAAATAATACTTTACAAATTAGTAGGTAGTCAGTTATGCCATATAAGACCACTTTTAGTACTAAAGGGTATCCGCACGTAGGAACAAAGTGTGAAAAAGCCTGAGACGAACTATGCACACGCATACAACAAGAACAAGTTCAGCTGTGAGTCTACAACTAAAATGAAATGAAATGCTTCAGCAAGGATTACAACCAAAAATTAATGAAAGCAAACAGGCTACAGTCATTTGCTGTGTGGTCAACGCTCGGCCAGGGACTTAATTGCCAAAGACTATGGACGAAGGATGTTGTGCGATCTGTGTGTATGTGTGTGTGAGAGAAGTAAAACTACATGACCACGACAGGATAAGAGGACTACAGGTGGCATGCACTTTGGCGTCTCTTGGCTAATTGTAAAATACGCCACCCAGCACAAGGGCTCATTAGACCTCGTGGTTACGGGCCAAAAAACTTGCAAGGATTGCAGATGAACGCTTGGCTGGCTTGCAACGAAAATGTGGTCTGAAGTGTCGGCTTAAGTGCACTCAAATGTCGCTTAATCTTTTTTGTTGTTGTTTTAAAAGTTAGACAGCCTTCCCCCGGGCTGTCAGCCGTAACAATAGAATAATTTAGTTATTATTCTGTATCCGATCAGCAATTTGGAAATATAAAAAATGCTCGCTCATATTCGAGCATCGGCAATAGCGCGTCTAGACGGTCCTGGCAATTACAAGGAATGGAGCCACAAGGTGGAACTGCATATGCGTGTTCACAAAATGTGGCCGGCGGTTCTATCAACGCCGAGGCCAATCGAAACGGTTATGGATCTGGAGGACGATAATAATATATTTGTTGCCGCTCGTAAGCGCATTTACATCCAATGTGCGGATACATTTGTAAGTGCATTCGCCTGGATAGCTGTGGGAATTATTCTAATCGAATATATTTTGCAGAATCGACGTGTTAAATTATTTTTAGGTAATGTGATAGATCCACAGATTATGCCACATGACTATCTCGAATGGAGTATACCTCACATTTGGTTTGAATTGAAACGAAAATTTGGCAATCTAAAGTTACGCAAGAAAAGAAAATTGAAGTTGCAGCAAAATCAGAAGATTTTTAAATTTAAGTTGGACATAAAGTAAATACAAAAACGGAGATAGAGAGCAATCGGCAGAGGAACATAAGGAATCAATTATAATTACATGCAGTTTTCTTTCTTTCTGTTTTTGAATTATATTAAATTTGTTGCTTGAGTGTTAATACTTTTGCGACTAGAGACCTTTCAATGTCATAACTAAACACAATTCTCAGAATCACATCAAGCAAGTTATTTTTATTTACTTGGCAGTAAAGCACTTCTAAAAGTATTCAGCTTGATTGATTCAAACACATTTCAGCTAATCATTATTAAAGGCTTAGCTCCATTAATTGTCTTTTAATGCTAACACGACTTATGTTGTTGAGCTTTCTAAAATACACAAAATGTCTTCACACACACCTGATGCTACTCTCAAAGTTTAAAGGCCATTACTATTGTTGTTGCTGCTGCAGTTACGACTGCATTGTTTTCTCTCGCATATAGCTCTCTTTGGCTTCTGTGGAGTTGAATGGAGTTCAGAGTTTTGTTTTGTTTTGCTGCCACTTGCGCTTTGCCAACTCAACGCGTTTTAATAATGGTCCAATTGTCCCAGTAGCGAAAACAAAACGGAACGTAACGAAACAAAATAAAGGCCAAGTTGCTGTTGCTAATGGCTAATGGTCAAGTGGTCAAGTTGAACCGTGTTTTGGCCCTCTGCCCGGTCAGATCCAACAACTTGCTCCTTGTCCAGTTTGTTTAATGTGCACGTAATTGAAATGCATTTACAATTGAATTATAAATAGAACAAAATACATACATATGGATGTGTATGCATGTGTAGTACGAAAATTCGCACTTGTGCTGTTGTTGCTGTTTGGTTGTTGTAGGAAAGAAGAAGTTCGAGGTGGTTTATAAGCCGCTGCTGCCCCAGCTTTGTCGAACGATAAAAGCAACGAGTCGCTTTGTTAAAGTTTCAGCAGCAGCTGAACTTGCAACCGGCAACTGGCAACTGCCAACTGGAGGGTGCTTTTAGCAGCAAAGTTGCAATCAAATCAAACATTCCCCAGAAGCATTTCAAGAGGTGTCTTTGTCGGTGTGCATCAGCAGCAGCAGCAGCAGCAGTAACAGCAGGTTGCCATGGTCACGTCCAACATTTGAGACTATCTCTCTCTCTCTCTCTCTCTCTCTCTCTCTCTCTCTCTTTATCTCAGGCTGCGAGTTGGCTTTAGATTCCTCTGTGGAGGCCGTGCCAATTCAATCATCAATGTGTTTCGTGTGCTGCTGCAATGTCTGTGGCCAACAACTTTCTGGCAGCTGATTTCAATAACTAATATGCAAAGTGGCAGATTGACAATACCAGGCCTTCCCCGAGGGGCTAAACCGGCTCACTGCACCACTTGCCCACTACTCCCCTGCCCAGGTCTTTAAGTTTTTGTTGTGCTCTAATTGCCGTGTCAGTCTCTGTTCTGATTGCAGCAGTCAGCAGCATGCTGAGGCTGTTGCTTTGTTGACATGCTTTTCATTTGCAACCAGCAGACAAACACACACACAAACACACACACACACACACACACACACACTCACACACACACACACACTCTCACACCCACATATCACACATGGCAGGTGTAAGTGCCAAACTCTCTGACTAATCGCTTGGTCTGTGTCCAAGCTCACATTTTGCTTTAATTCCGTTTTGTGTTTCTAAGTGACTTAATGATTTTTGTTGCACACAACTGAATCGTTTTAACTAATGTGTGTTTTGAGTGTGTGCTTAGTGTAGAATTGACATTAAGTAAATTTATATATAGCAACTACAAATGTGTTGAAATTCGTAATCTAATTCGATTTTCTTAACGTCAGATCAGGTGTTGCTTCAATTGTTGCCATAATGATTTGATATAAGGTCAACAAATGTGTGCATTAGCCAAATATTATAGGTATATTTAAACTCTTAGTACTTAGATGTCAAATGTTTCAAATCAAAATTAAGTTATATTACGAAGCACTTTCTAATGCAGTGAAGCTTTATTTTATGAATGTTTGTCTTTGTATATATTTTATGTACAGTCTTCTGAAAGAATGAAGTAATTAAGTACTTAAAATCGCAATATCCTACAAAACTTTTTGCCATAAATATTTATTAGAATTCATAACTTTGATTCAGGTTAATTCTTGAATAAACGTAAAACCCATAAAAAATCATCTCAAAAGAATTCCTTTAAGTGACGAAGTGGGCCTCCAAAAATGCTTTTATTGCCAGCTGGCAACGATTTCACCGCTAACTGCTTCCTTAATTACCAACCACAACTGCCGCTTCAACCATTTAAAATTTATTTATTTATATATTTTTTTTTTTAGATATTCCTTCAAAGACCTTTTATTTTTTGTGCATTGTGTGAGCTTTTCTGTTGATTGCTTTGAAGATTGACAACCAAAAAAGTATGCAACAGAATGTATATTGCATGCTGCTTAAAAGCCTTCCACAAATGTCACATCGCACACACACACAAACACACAAATACACAGGCACACACAGAATAAGTCAGACACTCACATGGCCATTAACCCAGTCATTGCAGCTGAATTTAAGCCTTACTCACTAGTCGGCACCACTTGGCGCGACCATCGCTACCAACCAAACAAAAATTCGCATAATTCCAGCTAAAAGTTTGATCCGCCGGACACACTATGGAGCTGCTGCAGCAGGTCGGGGCCGGGGACTAAACGTTTCCTACTATACCAATGCCAATGCCATGGCCAGTGCCAGTGCCAGTGCCGTTGCCATTAGTAGTGCCAGTGTTATCGCCATCGTTCTCGTCAGCGTGTATTTGTCAAGCAAATGGAATAACCATTGCGATTGCAAAAACGTCGAAACCAAACAAAAATGTTATTTGCCGCTTTGCCCAAAAATCAAGTACACAGCCAAACAACCAAATAACCAAAAACAGGCAAACGCCAGGAGTGCTGCGTATGTAGTCCGGACCCAAAAAGTGGTCGCCGCCCAGTTTCCCGAACTTCCTCTGATGTCTATGACGTCCATTGTGTGTGTTTGAGCGGCTGTGGGTCCTGGCAACGGCAACGGCAACGGCAACAGCTCGCATAGTCGCTTTATTAAAGCCAAAACCTGCATTGTCCCATTTTACACATGAGTTGTGAGTTGCGAGTTGCAAGTTGCAGCCTCTCTATAAACAAATGTAAACCGGCAGAGATTCACATGAGCTCCACGGTAACAGGCAATCGAAATAGTCAGAGCTTAAAATGCTCTAAATAAGCTTTGGATGATGCGAACTGTTCAAATTGTTCAATTGAGTATGTGATATGAAATGCTACTGTTAAATTACTGCATTGAAATTATTAACCTGATTATTGTGAACTGATGTTAGAGATGAATTCAGATAGACACTTTCACAATAACTTGTTTTTATGTTACAACTCACACACAAATAAGTCTATAAATTATTTTTAGCAATAATGGAAAGCAGATAACATTTTATGAACAAATCACAATTTATTATTACCAATTCAATTTCAATTGTGTTATCATTCAATTTAATATTTACATATCTTTGTCTCATAACCTTAAGGAATGCCAAGTACAAACTTCTCTCCTCGACAATCTGCAGAATATTTTAGAATGTAGAGCATTTGTACAGCGGCTTTTTGGCAGAATTAGACACTTGCTCTTGTTGCGCTTCAGTTTTGGGCTGCGATTTTCGCCTTTCGCGCTCAAAGCTTCCCCCATTTGTGTGCTTGTGTGTGTGTGTGTGTGAGTGTGTGTGTTTTTTTGGAGTTGATGCTGCCACGGCAGCTGTTGTGGGCACTTGAAGTGCATGTGAACCGAATGCCAGCCAAAAAAAAGACAGAAAAATAAAGTAAAACGCAGGCAACACCAAAGCTGAACGCAACGAGAACGTTACTCTTAATGCCCTAAAGCGACAAATATTGGTAGAACAGAGAGAGAGAAGGGAGAGAGAAGTTAAGTGGAAGCGTGGATATGGGTTGGGTAAAAGGACTGCAATACAAAACTCGGTGCGGGATTTAACAGCCAAAGTAATGCAATGACAAACAAAGGCAACCACTGAGCGAGAACCAGCCATGAGTCAAGAGCAGCAGCAGCAGCAGTAGCAGCAGAAGCTTTTTGCTGGATTGGGCTGTTAGTATTTTTGGCCATTTTTCAGTCAGTTCAGTGTTGCTCTATGGCTTGCTGCTGTTTTTATTGTTATTGTTGTATATTTTGCTGCAGCCAGCCATAAATAACGGCCCGAGCTTGTCAGCTGGATTACCCCTCAGCATTTTTACTTATATGTCAAATGCAACAGGCCAACATTTATAAAAAAAAAAGGCAAAAAAATCCCAAATGAAATGGAAGTAAAGGCTAAAATCTGCACATCTTACGGGCGAATGTAATTAACCGTTTTCAACCACTCACTGCAGTCTGACAAGAGCAATGCAACAAGCATCAGCAAAAGCGACAACAGAAGTGGAGCAAAAACCACAGACATTCTACGGTACAACATTGTTAGATCCCCAACAAAGCGGAGCTGTAAAACCAATTTGTTTATACAACTACTGGATGGGTGTGTGAATAGTTGCCAACCTGTAGTTATTTTCTTTTATTATTTATGGTTAAATGGCGCAATATTTTTACATACAAACCAAAACCCACTTGACCCGTGAAAACTAACTAACGTTTATTAAATTCATTTCGTGGATTTCTTTTTTTTTTTTATTCATGTATAGCCTTTCATGCCGTGCCAGTGACCGAAAAAACCACAAAGCTCGAACAACTAAGCAAACTAAGCACACACACACACACACACACATAAGGGATAAATGAAAGGGGGGGAGTGGGGGAGTGGGTTTCCAGATATGCACAAACACATACACACACAAAGCAACCACAAAAAAGTGGTCAGTTGTCCAAAAACTAAACGAAATGTAATAAAGCAACGGATATGCCAGTTTGCTTGAACTCTGCAGAGGGCGTCAAGTCGGCAAGGAGCGAAGGGAATTTGGGAGAAATAAAGACCAACCGAGCAATGCAGATAGATGGGATAACTCTTAGTGCACAACACAATAAATGAATATGAATGAGTCTTGCCGGCAAGGTACAGATAAATCCGCAAAATATTCAAGGAAGTTACATATGTAGATTTCAACTGAATCGATAAGCTTATTTGCCATTAAGGACTCAGTAATAAATTAAACAGCTCTGAAAGCACAAACACGTTTTATTGACTAAATGAAATTTGTTTTACTAAAATCCGCAACGTTAAATAAAAAAATAAACTTTAGCTTTTTCATAGATTACGCAGCGCAAAAATTTGAAATTTCAAACGGCTTGGCAGCACATGTGCCACTTGCTGACTGAAGTTCTAATGGGCTTCAAGGACTTGAAAGGGTTTGAGCACTAACCCAAAAACACTTCTTGTTGTGGCTCTAAATCCACTTTGCTTTCGGCCTGTTAAATGCCATTATTTTCTTCCTTCAGCTCGATGCTCGTTATGCACTTGTGATTTTTTGTAGTAAGAAAATTGAAAAGGATTTTCGTTCTACTCTGCCGCAGCCAAATTTAAATCAATTTAAATTAAAGTTTGGTGCATACTTTTTTTGGCTCACGTTTTATGTTGGTCTCAACGAGTTTTTTATTTGTTGCAGCACTATTAAATTTTTAAGTGCCAAGCGGAGACCACAAGAGCCACAAATACCACACAAGCAACCACTAGCCATCAGTTCCCTTTCCAGCCCTACCCTGCACTCCAGCACTCCTCCATGTCTTGCACCCCCCTCCTCTCCGGCTCCGTCCACTAATAATTCATTATAAAAGTCAGTGCTTTGGTTTGGTTTTTGCGTTTTGCTGTGACGCGAGTTTCGCCTTAATACTCACTCCGCCTCTTACTTCTCGCCTTCGACTTCCTTCTGCAAGTTTCGAGCTTATGTCGTGACAAACTGCACACATATGTGTGTGACCGTTATATATATATATGTGTGTGTGTGTTAGTTGTTTGTGTTCATGTTTATGGCACCATTTTGCACAAAAGTCAAAAAAAGAAATAAGCAGTTCTTTGCATATGTTCCCTTAATCCATTTCACTTTAGTTGCAACTTGCCTGAAGCGATGCTTTTGTTTCTTGGGTCTTATTAATATTTAAATAAATAAAATGAATGGATATTGCTAATGAGAAAGAAAGAGGTGAACGGTATTTACTTTATAAAATTAACTTATCTAAAGCGCTATTATTTTATTTTTTCATTTTAGTTTTAGACAAACCTTAAAGTTTCGTAATCAAGTTGACATTAACTTAATTTACTGTTTAATGTCTTAAAATCTTGTCACTTTAACCAGTTTGCTAGTTTTTTCTTTTGTTTCTGCAAGAGAATAGGTTTTCAGGAACTCGCTGCACCTTCTGGTAGGCATTGGCTATGGCTGAGGCTTCTACCCTCTTGTAAGTGTTGAAAATTACTGTCGACTTGACTTGTTGCCTTTCTGTTTTGCCAGCTTGCAATGCCAACTATAGCAACTGTAACAACAACAATAACAATTACGGACTTTGTATATACACATGTTTGTATGTATGTACATACATATACGGGATGTGAGTGTGCTGAAAGTTATTATGGGTTCTCGGGCACGGACCCAGACCCAGACCCAAAGGCCCATTAATGGGCAAAATTACTGTTTACAAGTGAAGCAGGCAGCAAGCTCCACTCGCAAAGAACCTCCACTGCCACCAACCAAGTTTGGAGTGCAAGTTTCGTGTTAAAATAATAAACACATTGCAAAAATTGTAGCAGCATGTGTAGCAGCAAGCACACTGCATAATTCCATTACTGAGCAACATACGCCACACACTTCAAAGTCCAAGCTACCAACTCCGCACTTCATGCCATAAACCATAAGCTATTTTAAAAGCAATCTTTTTTCAACGTACCTAAACTCTTCAACTTTATTTCACACGGTTAAATAATATATATAAATATATACATTTTTCGATGCTTACTCAAAACGAGTGTGGAGGGTGGAAAAAGGTGAGCAGGTTGAGGCAGAAATTTTGTACACTATATGTTTTTAATCGATCGGAATTGCCGACACAAACTATTGCCCCAATATGTATGCTTGTATATATTTTGCACAGGTTGATACAGGGTATCAATTAGTCGCACTCTCCTTTCAGCAGCGTATTATTATTTTGTTTTGCTCTTTTAGTGCAGTATTTTTGCATTTAAAATAGCCAGACAGAGAAATGCCGTGGCAAGTTTAAGCAATTACTACGACAACAGTAAGTGTGGCACAATATGAAATTATTCTAATGACAATTAGTGTTGATTGTCACTTACGGGCCTGGAATGCTGTACGTGTGTATTGTAATTTATAATGCTTACAGAAAATTTGCATTTAAAATGAGTTCTTTCTTGTTGTTGATGTTGTTCAATTTTGTTGCTTTTGTTTTCGGTAATTTTGAAATTTCAATTTGAGTTTAGCCTAAGCAAATAATAACATGAAAGTCATGGGCAAACTGTCCGCATTAATGCATTAATTGTAATTACTTAATTATTTGCATAAATCAAAGTTTTGTTCGAGCATCCAAAGACACCCAACATTAATTTTAATGCAAAAGGACATTTCCCCCATTTATTGGAATGGCACTCAAAAAGTTTTTCACGGCGCCCAATTTACGGATGTATGGATAGATGGATGACTGGATGGATGAGATTTCTTTGAGTTAATGACAATTTTATGTAGCTCGTCAAGTTCTCATTTTGTGTTTTATGAGTGGACCAATTTCAATACTAAGGGCTATACAGAATTTAATGATTAGCTGGGGATGACAATTAAAACGCAAAAGATTTAATTAAATCTCTGCGGAATGTGTCCATTGTTTGAGATATAAATTGAATTGAATTTATTAACAATAATGACCAATTTATTGAAGAGTATTCATTCAAGCAGAGAGTGTTTGCTTTAACTGAAAAGCTACACACAAAAAAAAAAACATCGAGATTATTTCAGTTTAAAACGATTTGATTTTTTCAATAACAGAAATCATAAAAATAACATAAGGCAAAACGGCTAAAATTAGATAAATTTAAATCACAAAAGAGGCCATCTAATATACCCATTTCCTATACTCTCTCTCTCTCTCTCTCTCACTCTCTACCTCGTTGTAGTAACTTTCACATTTCTTTTTTGTGGTATTCCCATGTAAAGTGCTTCCGTCAAGTGGCGTTAGACAAACTCTGGAAATGAATCGCCTCCCAGTCGCATAAAGTGGGCGGTTGGTTACATTAGGCAAGACCACGAAATCTGAACGCAAGAATCAAATTGAAATGACGCACTTAATGGCATTTATGGTTTATGCGCATTTTATTATAATGCGACTTCGATTCTCTCTGCCTGTCTGCAAATTACCAAACGTTTGCTGCCGCTTTTGGCCATTTCAATTCACGGCCAGAGGCATGGACCGAGACAAGGGATGACCAACTGTCGCGAACTGCACTCACCCTTCTCGGCGCGCTGCCCCGTCGCTCCTTTGCACGACTCCTTTTTGGCCAATTGGTAATTTTGTTATTAGTCACGCTCTTTGCGCTTCATTAATGTTCATTACACACAAACGAACCCACATCGATTGATATTTCTCATCGTATGGCGGTTTCCAATGGCTGTTATATATTTATACACATTTTTTTTTCGCTCGAATTGTGGTTGACATTTTTGCGGTGTGCAATAAACGCGTTTTATTTAGCTTGCTGGCAGTTTTTATTTATTATTTTTATTTATTTATTTACGTATACGGCGAAAAGGGGTTGCCTGCCTGATATATTTAATTATAAAAATAAACAAACATTTACGAATATATTTATTTATATACCACACATGCACATGCATATACATTGAAGGATGGCAAACTTTGAACTTTTGGGTTACGCGTCACATATGCTAGGGGCAAGTTCGTGGGGTTGCCCTGCATGTAAAAGAAATAAGAAAATGAAATTTATTGACGTTACTTTGTGCACGCTTAATTGAGCATTGGCAACTTGAAAGGCTGATCGACTGATTGACTGAGCCAGTAAAAAACCAATTTTTTATGACCTTCGTTAGTTTGAAGAGCACAAAAATATAAACAGAAATTCTCGGTACCTAGTTATTTAAATGGGCATTTCATTATGCGCTTAAGCAGCTGGAAATTTTGCTTGCCGGCTTTTTCGGTACGAGTATATTAAAAATGCAGGAACTTTTTAGTTTTCCTTTTCTTTTCCATCGAGTTGCTGTTGTTATTGTTGTTTTTGTTGCTGCTCGGCATTACTTTGGGTTAATTTGGTTATCTAATATAAAATTGAACGAGCCCAAGGGGTTACTAAAGGGGGTGGAGGCCGCTGGGGGTTGATTATGCCACTTGAGCTGCTTAGGTTAAGACCATATGGTTGGCTTCAGTGCGCTTTGAAGTGGCATGGAAAATATGATAAGCATATTAATATTTTTCCCTCTTTTTTTTTGTGGGCAGAAAAAACTTTGATTGAAAAATGGGGAAAAAAAATATTGTGTAGTACTGAAAATGGGATAAGCTGAAGGAAAATTTTGCTAAAGAGCTGAATAATGGAAAGTGCCAGCGTGCATAAGTATGCTATAGAAAACGGATTTGGCAAAAAACCAAAAAATGTAAACAACAAAATGCTTAGGCAAATTTACTTATATATATTTCTATATATGTTATTATTTTTATATTTTTTCACTGAACTGGATCAGAAAAAAAGTTAAAATAAAATATCAAATAATACGTTAACTATAAGAGTATGAAAATTAAGAAAGTTTGGTTTGAGTTCTAGCAATATGCAAATTTTGTACTGATGCGATATCAATAATTTTCATACTCGCTTATTTATTAAGCAAACAATTACTGTTAATGCTCGGCTATAAGTATCAATGGGCTGTTTTGTTATTACAGCACTTGAAATGCGCAACTGCTTGATTGATGAATTTGTTTTCGTTGCCATACAAATTGCTTACACCCATGCCCCGAATAGCTTATTTTTCGTTTTCATATTTTATTTGCATAGTTGCTGCTCATTAAGCTCGGTTAAAATCCAAACATTTAATAAATTTTTAAGTGTACTGCAAATTATGCACCTCTTGACCAACCACAGAACACTTCATTAAAAAAAAGAAAACCAAACCAACTCTCGTCAACTGCAGGGCGCACCTGCAATCGCTCGGCACACAATACATTATTAATTTAACTACCACCAACTAACAGTAATGCCCTGGCCTCCACTCTGCCCTCCAAGCCCCCCTGCCAGAACCAACACCAACACGCACAACAATGGCACTTAATTTGCCAAATGGTTGCGACCCCCGTAAGCCAACCCTCGACCCATTTGTTATTGTTTTTCTTTTTTCCAAGGGGTATTTTCATTTGTTTTTCTGTGGGTGTTGCAAAAATATTAAGCGCGCGAATGGACAAAGATGCAAAATACCTTGACTGGAAAATTTGTGCAAATGCAAAGTCAAAGTAAACGAACGGAAGTGAAGTAAAGCGAAATAAAGCACAACAGCAAAGCAAAGTGAAACAAAAATTACAAACTAAATTGGCAACTTTGTGGAAAACTTAAGCGAACTGAATGGCTGACCAGCAAGAAAATTCATTAAAACTTTGCATTGTGTTGCACAAAAATGACCAACAACAACAACACGGAAATGAAGAAAAATGCTAAGAACTAATCTCATTGCGAACTAATTTGTCTGGCGATTTAGTAAAGATTTGGCAACCAAATACTCCTCGGCCAAATAGCAGGCTGTTGATGACGCGACAAAACCCAATTAATACGCCAGACAAATAAAATGGTCAGCCCAGTCAAGAGACAAGTCGCAAAAACCGTTTAGATACAGCAATAACCAAAAGTGTCTACACACACACACACACACACACACACACACACAGACACAGACATACATAGACACACAGCCAGACAAAGACAAACACACACGCGACTGTGCATAATTTGTTCCTTCTTTCTATTTTTGGGTGTTTTGCCTGGCATCACATCTAAGTATGTCTTAATATATGTATATGTTATATGGGGATTGACTGGCGTCTCTGTCGCCACGACTGTCTGTGTGAGTATGTGCGACTGTGTGTGTGTGTCTGTGTGTGTGTTTAAATGTGTGTGTGTGGGAGTCTATGTGTGTGCTGAGTATTTGTGTTTGTGCGTGGCGGCGCTTGTTTGCTTAAGTTAACCAGAAAGTTTTCTTTAAGATTTACGCTTAAGTTTTACGTGATAAAACTTTTATCACTATGACTTCTTCTTTTGGATGATGCTGCCAAATTCCAGGAGTGATACGATTTTTGTCTAACACTCGAAACCCCAGTGAATTGACAGTGGTGTAGATATTGGGGATATGTGATAAAAGTTTGCTAAGTATGACTTCATTTAGTTTGAAAAATCTTTGAGATTTTATTGGCTCGATTTTGAATTCTTGTTTTCGATTGTTGTTAGCTTTTCCTATTACAGATATTTCAGCAATAGATATTTCCTCTCAATTCGGCCATAGTATTTACAAAATGTAATGAATACTGTACAAGTGCAAGTTTCCTTGAGTCATATTTAAATAAATATTGTCATCTAGCAATAATAAAAAAAAATGGCAATATCTTATGGTGTTCAAACAATGCCCCCCTTCGGAGTGGCACCCATGCATTCATATGTGCACAATTTGTGTTGATATTTGCTTAGAGATATTGCGCCAACTTGTACAACTACTCATGCTAGTAATCTTATGTAGTTATTTGCTTCAGCTCCTCCCTAACGTAATATATAGCCTCCAGTCAAGTTGGGGGTAAATACGTGACGCTGTTTACTCCCCTCAGGAATCACTTTAGTATTTTGATGGCAGCGCTTATATCATCAGCCCAAAACTCAAGACATAAGAAACTTTTTATTAACATAAATTATGATGCACACACAAATACACACACACACACACACACATATGTAAACAGACACACTCACACACAGCGACACACACACTCTCTTCAAGTCTAGAGTCAATACTTAGTGCGCAAGTGAGTGCATAAATTTCACTTGGCACAAACTTTGGCCAATATATCTATTAAATGTCGACGGTGCTTACCGTTATGGCGATGTCATGGCTGGCATCGCATGTGTCCAACTTGCGTCGAAAGCGGAGGACGGTGTGTGTGGCATTCTCATAGCCCAGCATCAGCATGTAGTCCTGCGAAGGGTCGACAACGGGCTCAGTGTCGCCATTGCGTGTGACGTGTCGATCCTGTAAACGAAATGAAAAAAAATTGTGTATGAGTGGGTGTTATTTTTCGGTTATTAATTGGAATGAAAAATTTACGGAAATATTTAATTTGCAGCATACTTTTGAGCTCTGCGTGTCCCAACATCCCCCATGCCCACCACCCAGCCTCAATGTATGTGTATAAAAGGCTTGCGGGCACATTTTCATGTCATTTAACAAAATATACAGAATTTCTGCTTGTTGTTGTTGTTGCTCACTTTTGGGAGTCACACACACACACACACACTTACAGTCAACTGAAAGCTTCCAACTTGTGTGCATAACTCTCACGCAGCATCTGTGCAATGCGTTTTTCATTCTTCTTCTACCCTGTACTCGAAGAGTGTGTGCAAAAAGGGATATACTATTTATGTAATGGAAGAATCTTCATTTTATTTATATTTATTAAGCAGTCTTAATAATTCCATTTATCTTTTGCTATATGCAACAGATACATTTCATTCCTTAGCACTGGGTATCTTCTGGTCAAACATGCGCAGCTGTAACAACTTTGCTTGCTTTTCCATATTTCTTATATATTTTTTATACTAATTTAAATTTTATCAAAGTTTTCGAGACGATCTTATGCGCCGTATCCCAGTCTTTGTTGCAAGCTTGCTTACGTGTCTCCCTTTCTCTGTGTTTTGACAGCTTTACCAAGTTAAATTAGAGTAGTTGTCCCATCTTCATTGGAAGAAAATCTCCTTTTGTTGGTTAAAAAGAAAACACACTCACTAAAGTTTTCTTCTTTTTTTGTTTTTGTACTCTTTTGACTTGTTCGATTCTTTTTCACATGTTGGCGAGGCCTCGACACAGACGCCAGATGAGCTCTGAGTTGTGTGTGAAGGTAAGTGTGTGTGTGTGTGTGTGTGTGTTTGTAAGGACGATGTAAATTCTCGTACATATAGAAAGGCACTCACAAATACATATGCATGTTTTTGTGTATATATATTTACAGACCCCTGTCGAAAATATTTGGGAGTCGCTGCCTTTCCGTTTGCTGGAGTTGTGGAGCGTTGAGGGGGAGCGTGTTTGAGAGTGTTTGGTGAATGGAGAGGGGGGGGGGGGCGTTGGGGCATGTACTGTGATGTGTTGGGTCGGTGCTTTCGCATATTGGCAGTGACTGCAAATGGGCGTTATGTTGTCTATGCTATAGAAACATCCTGACGCCAGGACCACTGTTCTGTTGTTTTTGTTGGTGTTTTTTTTTCTTCGGTAAGACAACAATTTTTTGATGATGTTGCAAAAGTCAAAAGACCTCCCACCTTCCACACTCAACCGGGTAATTGAAGCTGATGGAATTTTTGAGTAGTTTCCTATGTAGATATTTCAAATTTTTATTGATTTAATTATTTGTTGTCGTTTGCCATTGGTTAGATTGAAATCAAAGGCTTTCAGCACTTAATGCCATTGCACGCCTATATATATATATACATACGTATGTCTGCATACGGATGGAGTTTTGTTAAGTTTTTATTGCATTTACGGTGTTGGTTTTCTTTGACTGTGGTTTGTGGCTTTTAGGACTCATGTGGCACTAATTGAATGAGCTGTTGGCTGCTTCCCTGCTGCTGCTGCTTCAGCACATATTGGAATAAATTGTGAATATTGGCAGGTTGTGGCATTCGAGCTCGTACACAGATGAAGTTATCATAGAAAGAGTTCATGTGGCAGGCAAATTGTTAATATTGATTTTTGTTTTAGATATTCGATTTTATATTAAATATATTAAGCTAAAGTTTCCTGAGAGTTTTGCAAGTAGCATAATATTTGTAAAGCGGCTTACTTAACTGGATATCGAACAAAGTTCAAGCTTCACAGCAAAATTTGCTGGTTTAATTTTTATCTATTTTATCTCATAAATTCCATACGCTTCCATACGCTTTTATGTGCTCTCAAAACTTAAGCTCTAATGAGTTATCCTTTTTGATAGCTGCTACTGCTACTGCTTTTATATCCTTTTTTGCTGCTCATGTGAACTTTTTCCATTTAACATCCACTTCAACCTGGCTAATGCCCATAATTAATATTGAATAGCGTGCTCCGAAAATAGATAATCTTATCGCAGCTGCTGGTTGGTCAGTTTGTCTCCACACACAAACACACTTGGTTTATATTGGTTAATGTTTAGCCATCCTTCATCGCTATCTCACACACAATTCATTTTAAGAGCATTTATTTGTGCACTTAAGCAGCAATGTTCGGTTTCCCAGGCTTCTCCTGCTCCATTGTTCCCCTTTCCCCAGCCAACCAACTGACACATTGCCCAACATTATGGAGTGAAACTTTTCTGTTCACAGCTCGCAGCATTTCCATCATCTAATTACAACTGAAATTTTCACACACCTGAGGCTGTTGCAATTAATTTGCCCCAATTTATATCATCATGGCACCAACCCCTCCTCCGAACACCATCACCACCCCTTGCGTTGCGTGTTGTGTTGCCCACAATTACATGCCAGCATTTCATTAATCATATCGCACGCTGCGCCATTTAGCTGGCTAATTAAAACTTTGCACAAAACATTTAACATAAATTCCAGCAAATTTGTATGTGTATATATGGTATATATATCTATATATATATATATACTACATATTTGCTATCTATGCGAAAGATAGAGCTTTTCGAACTCTCTGTCAGTCTGAGTGTCTGTCTGTCTGTCGGTCTGTCTGCCAGACTGTTTTCTGCAATCTGCAAACGCATAATTCAAGATCTGTAACGCACAGTTCCGCTCCCGTTCCCGTTCCCGATCCCGATTACGTCCATGTCCCCATTCATGTGCCCGTTGCTGTTTTGCACAGTTTCCCTTTTAATTTTACATTATCTACCTCTACACACACACACGTACACACACACACACACGCAAATTCGCCTACCTTGACATGTTTCTCGCTTATCGCAGCAGCAGCCAAAAGTCGCGTATACGTCGTGTATGCCGCGAGAATTGTAAGCACTGCGAGCGGTGACGGAAATTAAAAATACGCGCTGCAATGTTGCAAGCACCCAAGCGACGTTATCAAAATCTGCGTGTGCGTGGGCGTGGCATAATCGTCGGTTGAAGGGAAAGGAAGTGGGTTTTGCCTGCAGGTTACACATTGTGGGGTAATTATGCAAAAGGAAGTCGCATAAATTTGCAATATTCTCAGCTGCTGCTGCTGCTGCTATTGCTGCTCTACAGTGCTTGAAAAATGTTTCAAATGCCAACGACGTTTTAACTGCTCACAACTTTTTATGCGTGCAACTTAAACGCCGCCAATTCTGTCTTTACAACTCCTTCCCAGTGCGGGTAACCACACATTGTCATTAAGTTGGCGACACAGCTAAACTTCAACGGATAAGGTTAGTTTCGTATAGTTGAAAACTGAATGAGAATATTCACGTAAAGTGGTCTTTAGATAATAATAATGCGCTTTAAAAGGCCAACCCAAATTTACTAGAAATAAATCAAATTACTAAATCGTAATAGATTCTTTTTTTTTTTTTTTGTGTGTGTGTATGAAAAGTTACTGTTAGAGTATGAAAACTTCGATTAACTTTTTGGCAACTCGCTGCTAACTTTTCATTCATTTGAAGTTGCATGCCAAGACTTTGCAGTGCGTGGGCAGCAGGAGCATTTTATTGTAAAAGGGGAGGGTGGAGAGGTTTTGGGTATTTGGTCCTGCTGGGAGTTCTGTTCAGTTACGTGGTCGTCGTTGTCAACGCACACGTTTTTTTAATTGCTGAAATTTTATCACACCTTCATGGCTGGCAGGACTCGTAAATTGTAATCCTTGTGCGCTCTTCGAGCTTCTGCTTGAGCAGCGATGACGTCGTCGTTTTTTTTTTTCCTTTTTTTTCATTTCACTTCTTTGCCCTGGTTGTGCCCTTCTGTGCTCGATGTTGTCATTAACGTCGCTGCCTCTTAAGCATTTAATGGCCTTGTCAAGACTTTAATGCCCTTTAGCTGCCGCCCCTAATATGTGAAGTAGCAGGGGCGGCTCAGTAGTAGAAAAAAGAGTGTAAACTGTAGAGTGACAGTGAGTGTGTGTGTGTGTGTGTTGGGGAGAAATCAATAAAAGCAACGCCAAATTAAGCACCTTTTCGCTGCTGTGTGAAATAAGCAGCCGCAACGAGAATTTAATAGGATTATGCAACATTGACGTTGCGAGCAAGGCCAAAACAAACTTATGTAAATCCCCACCCCGCCACCCACTCCCAAAATACTGTGCCCTGAACCCTTTTGGCATCATAACATGCTCCTAATTGTGCTGATTTTCGCATGATGAAAACTTTTGACACACACACACATATAATATATATATGTATATAAATATATATATATATATATATATATATACATATATATATATTGTAAATAAGCCGCCCATCATCAGCAGCATAAAGTGGCAGTCCCAAGTTTTGTTACGCCAAAAACAAACTTTAGCAATTTATGATAATTCAACGTCAGCTGGGACAGTTCAGTGTTCAACGTTCAGTGTACTCATGAAGTACTCGAGTATATCGAGAGTGAGTGCAAGCGAATCAAGGCACAGGCCTATGACTTGGATGCTGCTAATGTAAGCTGGCAAGCTGGCAGGCTGGCAGGCAGTCAACCATCAACAACAACTGACAGCTGGCTAGCAGCGAAAAGCTCAAGCGATTCAAGTAAGAGCGTGTAAGAGGGGGAGTCTTAAAATATGCTCGCAGCACACATTAAACTTATTGCCCCCCCACAACGTAACCCATTGGCCCATCCCCTAGCCAAACATCCACAGACAAACACTCTCTCACAGACACAGACACAAACACACTCATACACATGCATACATGAGTGCCCAGTCTTGTTACATGTTCAGATTTTGCATTATAAACAAATGCATACAGCAAAAGGGTTGGTTGCTCATAGCACACAAATATCAAAATGCTAGCCATCTATCTATCTATCCATATACACTATGGATATATAAATGTATATATATAAATATGGGGCATATATGTTATAGAT